ATATATATATATATATATATATATATATATATATATATAAAATTATTCTGAAAGACAAGAACATAGAGGAGGGACTTGGTACAGACTATCAACTCAATTTTTTATCACCACAGTTGTAACTCCAAAATTAACAGATATACAGCAATAATCAAAAGCAGTGCAATGCAAATATCTTTGGAGGTTAAGATAAAATTATAATGCAAGAACATAAAAAAGAAATAAAAAAAGGCAAGTACTTCAAGTACAAGGAACCAGTCTGCTTGAGGTCCATTTAGTGTTTACTGGGGGCTTCCTTCCTGCTTTTACTTCTTTCTCTGAAACACATTGGCCAACATGGCACCTGATGTTGTCAACTGGCCCATTTTGTTCAAAAACTTGGTCTTTGTATCTTCACTCACTAAGCTTGCAGCAATTGACATTGAGCTAGGAAAGAAATTTTGAAATTCGTGTAAAGCAATTAAAAAACTAAAATATCTATTTTTTCATTTCTTTAGTAGTATAACATTAATAAATGCATTCTGAACTGGTATCACAAAAGGGAAACTAGTATTTATGGAGTAGAGTTTTTTGGTACCATAATAGGTTAGCAGCTTTCATGTTCATTGTTTTTTTAAAGGAAGCAGTATGGTATAGTGATTAGGAGAAAGTGTGGAATGAGACTGAATCTCGGTTCTGTCATTTACCAGCTGTGTGACTTTGGGCGAGTTATTTAGTCTCTGTTTCCTCATCTATAAAATGGAGATAATTCTAGTACCTACCTCACAGGGCTATTTAGGATTATACGAGTGTAAAGTGCTTATTAGCAGTGCCAGGCACGTAATACCATGCTCTAACTGTTAGTTATTCTTCTTATTATCAGCATTACTTCATTTAATTCTTACAGCAACCCTGGGAGATAGATATTACCCCTATTTTCACAGATGAGTAAAGGAAATCTCAGTGAGGTCTTTAAACAATCCTAGGACATATTACTTTTTTAGGGGGGCAGGGTTGGGGAGAAGAAACATGTCCTCAATTGCCAATTGCACTAGTTTTGATGGACAGTGTCAAATCTTTTCCTTTCTTTTTGACCAACCTTCTGTGTAGGAAGTAAGCACAATTTAAATGACTACTAAACACAGCTGGTTTATCATATTACTGAACAGAGTATTGATAAAGGACAATTTTTCAGTGATCCAACAATTGTGCTATAATGGATTCAGTAATCCAGCTTATTGGCCTTGTGGCTTTGGCCAAGATGCTTTAAATCACTGTGATTCAGTTTCCTCCTCTGTAAAATTTTGCAACTGTTACTGCAAAATATCTTGAGGACTAAGTAAGAGAATATGTTTGAACATGTCAAAGACAATGAGTGGCGAGTGACGTACAGGAGCTCAACAGACGTCTGTTAAATCTACACATGAAGTATGTGCTGCTACCTAAGACCTCTGGTTCTATGTGGTCTTTAAAGGTGTGTGCTGAGTTACTCAGTTAAATACCCGACCACGATGCCCATCCTGAAAGTCTCTTCTTCCCATTGCCCTCCTGCCAGTACATCAACCTGGTCTGACCCTACGTGCTCTGAATACCCCGCTCTTGCTGCTTTTCCTCTTCCCACAAAGTAATCCTCCATGAGGCTCAGCATTTGGCTCTAGTTCTTCAATTACAAAACTTACTCATTCTATAAGTTTTAAGTAACATCTCCATAGGATGACTCAAAAATATTTATTGAATCACAACATTTTTCCTGAGGGCCAGTCCCACATTACCACTGTTTGCTACATAAAGCCAATGTCTCAAGTTTTTTTTTCATACCCTAACTTTAGAAATAACTCCCCACTTTTATTTCTGAGTACAAGTCTTTCACCTCCTTAGGCAGCTTTATTCCTAGGTATGTCATGCTTTTTGTTGCGATGGTAAATGGGAGTGTTTCCTTCATTTCTTTCTGATTTTTCATTGTTGGTGTATAGGAATGCCAGAGATTTCTGTGCATTAATTTTGTATCCTGCAAATTTACCAAATTCATTGATTAGTTCTAGTAGTTTTCTGGTGGCATCTTTAGGATTTTCTATGTATAGTATCATGTCATCTGCAAACAACGACAGTTTTACTTCTTTTCCAATCCGTATTCCTTTTATTTCTTTTTCTTCCCTGATTGCCGTGGCTAGAGTGAACATCCTTGTCTTGTTCCTGATCTTAGTGGAAATGATTTCAGTTTTTCACCGTTGAGTATGAGGCTTGCTGTGGGTTTGTCACATATGGCCCTTATTATGTTGAGGTAGGTTCCCTCTATGCACATTTTCTGGAGAGTTTTTATCACTCACTTTTATTTCTTTACTTGCCAGTGGTTGTATCCTTTTCCTCTCTTCCCAACAGTGAATATAATGGCTCTCCATTTCAAACTATCATCAAATCTTGTGACTCTATTCTACAACATCTTCTCTATTGTTTACTTTTATTTCTAATGCCAATACTTTACAACTGAATTATTCCAAAAGTTTTAGATCTGGCATCCTTGCATTAGTCAGATTCACCTCTTAAATAATCACTTCTTTATATCACACCCCTTCTCAAAATCTTCAGTGGTCACTTACTACCTACAAGATAAAATATGCATGGCATTCAAGAAACACAGCAATCTAATTCTTATGTGTGTGTGTGTGTGTGTGTTTAACCAACCATCACTACTTAACTTCTAGACCCCCTTGAGTCAGGTCTGCCTAGTCTAATTGTTCAAACCATTCTCAACTTAAATGTTTCTTCTTTTATCTCGTGTCTAGCCATCTTTTAATTCCCAGCTCAAGCCCTATCTTTTCCATGATGCCTTTCCTTAACATTCTAGGTTTATAGTACTGTTTTTTTTCTGTAGGAAACAATGTTAAGTAAAAGATAAGTATGATTTTAGTTTGTATCTACAAAAACAGGATACATGGCTCAGATAATACTTGAGATACCATGAAGTCTTTTTTAAAAAAATATTTATTTATTTGGTTGCACTGGGTCTCAGTTGCGGCAGGTGGGCTCCTTAGTTGCGGCTCGCCAGCTCTTTAGCTGTGGCATGCAAACTCTTAGTTGTGGCATGCGTGTGGGATCCAGTTCCCTGACCAGGAATCGAACTCGGGTCCCCTGCATTGGGAGAATGCTTCCCTGGGAGTGTGCGCCACCAGGGAAGTCCCCCATCAAGTGTTAATGATATTCTAAGAAGAGTGCAACAATGATGCTAAGGAGTCTGGAAACCATAAGAGATAAAAGTGAAAGGAATGAAGAACGTTTGGTTTGGAGAAGAGAAGATTTAGGAGACTTAAGATACCTCTCTGTGTTCCTCATGAAAAATGAGATATATAATATATATCTGCACAGCTGTATATATCCATAGAGCTCTACTGATGCACATCACAATTACCTGGGGGAACTTTTTGAAATGTGGACACCTAGACGTAACCCCAGTGATTCGGATTTTTTCCATCTGGGGTAGGGGACCCACGTATGTATTTTACAAAGCTTTCTAGTGAAGAACCATTACATTATGGCTTTTTTTTTTTTTTTTCTGAAGAAAGAGTTTACATTTTTATCAGTTAGACAAAAGGGTCTGACTCTGACCCCTCCGCCAAATGATGAAAACTTGGTATAGAGAGTAGATGTTATAGGAAGGGAGACTTTAACTCAGGATGAGAAAGGAATATTTTAAAAACAGAGTTGTTGAAAATGAAATGGGCTGCCTTGTAATGTCTTCTTACTGCAGGCTTTCAAGGGATTCTCAGATCTTTCCTTTGCAACTCATAGCCAACCAGCTGTCATTTCTTATTGATTCTGAATCTACAGAATCTCTTACTTCTGGCCTATCTTTAAAATTATTTATGTCCTAGAATAGTTCTCTCTCTCTCCACATCACTATATCTTGCAAATCAAAGATCACTATTCCTTCTCTTTGAAACCCCTATTTGATTTTTTGACACCACTCTGATTTGCCTCCTATTTCTCAGTTAAGCTTCTTGTAAATGCTGCACTTTCAAAAAAAAATTATTTATTTTATTTATTTATTTTTGGCTGCATTGGGTCTTCGTTGCTGCGTGTGGGCTTTCTCTAGTTGTGGCAAGCAGGGGCTACTCTTCGTTGCGGTGCGCGGGCTTCTCCTTACAGTGGCTTCTGTTGTTGTGGAGCATGGGCTCATGGGCTCTAGGTGTGCGGGCTTCAGTAGTTGTGGCTCTTGGGATCTAGAGCACAGGCTCAGTAGTTGTGGCGCACGGGCTTAGTTGCTCCCGGCATGTGGGATCTTCCCGGACCAGGGCTCGAACCCGTGTCCCCTGTATCGGCAGGTGGATTCTTAACCACTGCACCACCAGGGAAGTCCCTTAAACGCTGCATTTTAAATGTTGGTCTAATTCCAGGTCTGAGCTCCCTTTCCAAGTGATATCATCTATCCACCTCTAGTCCTTACCTAAGCCTTTAATTACCACCTATATCCTAATGGTTCCTAAATCTCAAAAACTGCTTATAGTGTTTTTCTTCCTGTACCTCAAATTTTAAATATTCCTCTTCAGAACAGTTCCATTTGGTTGTACGGTGCCATCATTCAATCTGGGAATTCTTATTAGATTCTAGTTCTCTCTTACTCTAACCTGTTGCCATGTTAAACTGAGTTCACATTTGAATATATCTTGAGTCCATCTTATTCTCATACTCACTGTTACATATAGGCAGTAAAACATGGTGGTTAAGACCATGGTCTCAAGAACCACAATGCCTGGGTTTGAATTCTGGTTCCTCCACTTAGTAGCTAGGTGGCCTTTGAGCAAGTTACCTAACCTCTGTGTCATCTGTAAAATGGGAATAGTAATAGTATCTACTTCATAGGGTTATTATGATAAATTATTAGCAAATATATGAAAAATGCTGAGAATGGTGTCTGGTTCATGAGTGTATCTTATTATTACCTGCCCATCCATGCCCATACCTGCCTTCATCATGGGTTACTACAGTAGCTTTCTGTTCCACCTGCTTCTCTGTTGCTTGTATTCACTAGAGCATGGCTTCCAAAGCAGTGGTTCTCAAAGTGTGGCTCCTGGACCCAGAGTATTAACATCACCTGGGAATTTGTTGCAATTCAAATTCTCAGGCTCCATCCCAGATCTTCTGAATCAAAAACTCTGGAGATGGCACCCAAAAATTTCCAGGTGATTCTGATGGACCCTAAGGCCTGAGAAGCAAAGTTACTAAGGGCTGGTAAACTAAGGGTCACAGGCCAAATCCAGTCTGCTGCCTGTTTTTGTAAATAAAGTTTTATTGGAATGCAGCCATAGCCATACATTTCCATATTGTCAATGGCTGCTTACTGCTACAATAGCAGAGTTCAATTGTGTACTTGTAACAGAGACCATATGAATTGCAAAGCTTAAAATATTTACTGTCTTTACAGAGAAAGTTTGTTGACTCCTGGCCACAGGATAAGTCCAAACCTCTCATGTAGCATACAAAGTTCTTTATTAATGGTGCCCGTCTACCTTTATAGACTTATCTCTATTGTTCTCCCGTACATACTCTGTGCTGTAGCTTTAATTACAGTTCCCAAATATGCTTTTCTGAAACTTTTGTCCTTTGCACAGTGCTGATATTTCTGCATGTAATCCCTTTTCTCTTTTCTTTTGCCTCCGGTTGGAGGGTGGATCAGTTCATTACTTTGGAAACTGGTACATAAAGAGAAAGAATTGAACATTTATCTTGTCTTTACTATATAAACGGTATAACTTGGTAAAAATAGCACATATGGGGGACGGTTTTCTTTCTGAAGAATTCTAGCTGACAAATGAAGAAGGAATGATAGAGTAATACATTTTGTAATTGCTAATGAATTAACGGATCTGGCATTCATCATTAATAGATGTTAACATCACCAAAAAAAGAGAGAAGCAGACATTACCTGCCTCCCAATGAAAACACACCTCCTCCTATGTAGAAGTCTTGGCAAATAAAAAACATGCCCCAAACCTGATTACATCTCTAGATCTAGATCCAACTAGTAAATTTATGGGAAATACAGAGGAACATTTTGAACCACACAAGGGAAATGCAATTAGCAAGATTTGGACTGTGGGAACCTCTATAGGACAAATGACTCAGTTCCTTCAACAAGTAAATTGTATGGAGAAAAAAAGAGATACAAGGGGGAACCTCTGAATTAAAAGAGATTCAAGAAACATATTAACCACTTATAATATATGGAATGTTGGATCCTGACTCAAGGAAACAAACTGTAGGGAAAAAACGAACAACAAATCAATAATGACATTTACGAAACATTAGAAATTTGAACAAAGGCCAGATAATAAATGATATTAAGGAGTTGTTATGGTGTGATGATACTGTGTTTATGTTTAAAAAAATAGCACTTATCTTTTAGAGATGTATATCAGAATATGGGAGGGGAGAAGAGTTGGCTATAGATGAAATAAAATTGACTATGAGTTGATAATTGTTGAAGCTGAGTGATGAGTACATGGGAAATCATTATACCATGTTTATTTTTGTGTTAATTTGAAATTCTCTACAGTAAGAGTTTAAAAAAAAATGTTAATATAGAGGATTTGAATAACATTTACAATAGCCAGGACATGGAAGCAACCTAAGTGTCCATCAACAGATGAATGGATAAAGAAGATGTGGTACATATATACAATGGAGTATTATTCAGCCATAAAAAGGAACAAAATTGGGTCATTTGTAGAGATGTGGATGGATCTAGAGACTGTCCTACAGAGTGAAATAAGTCAGAAAGAAAAAAACAAATACCGTATATTAACACATATATGTGGAATCTAGAAAAATGGTACAGATGAACCGGTTTGCAGGGCAGAAATTGAGACGCAGAGTAGAGAACAAATATATGGACACCAAGGGGGGAAAGCAGAGGCACGTGTGGGTGGTGGTGTGATGAATTGGGATATTGGGATTGACATGTATACACTGATATGTATAAAATGGATGACTAATAAGGACCTGCTGTATAAAAAAATAAATTTTAAAAGAAGTTAAAAAATAAATGATAATATAGAGGATTTGAATAACATGGGAAAATATGATTATAAATGTGAACTTTTTTTTTCCTTAAAAAGGAAGGTCATGTAACCAAAGCAATCTTAGAAAGTTACAAAGAGATTTCTTTCTTGTAAAATTCCTGCATGATAATTCATGAAATTTCATTTAGAATGTATTTCACATATAATTTTTCTCAGTTTTGGTCTAAAACCTTTTACATCTTAAACTAATAAGGCACCAAATAATTTTAATATTTAATGTACAACAAATGAACAGAATTATTTGCTTTAATGTTAACTTTATGGATTTTGTGTTCAGAATACAAACCTATCAAAGTATGTCTATTGTTTTGTAACTTTCCATGGCTAAAATGATAGAAGAGCTCCCACCATTCTAGGAGACTAAAGCAAGAGTTCTGACTCATAGTAAAAGGCAAAAGACTGTGTGTGTGTGTGTGTGTGTGTGTGTGTGTGTGTTGGGGTTGTGGGTGTGGGGGAGTGTGTTTCTGTGTACCTAGCCTGACAAGATGAAACACTTATTCCTGGTAGTCAGTTTTATAAAGGAAACACCGTTGAGCTTTTCATGCCTAACAGAGTCCATTTAAGATCAACTGGTCAAGGTTACTTCAGAAAGAGTTAGAGTACACACAGACTACTTGTAAATTACTTCCTGTCCTGAAATGCCCAACTTTATTCTTTCACATCTATGTTCATATTTTAATTTCACTGAATCTTTGAATTCTAATTAGTTTGGTTAGAAGCATGGGACTAGAACATTCACAGGTTGACAATCCTTTATGCAGTGAATCAAGTTAAATCTTACAACTCCTCTCACAAATTTCTACAAACTACGTTCACCAGTGATTCCCAAACCAGCTACCTATCAGAATCTGTTTGGAAGCTTGTATTTATTTTATTTTTATATTTTACTGAAGTATAACTGATATACAATCTTATATAAGTTACAGGTTTATAATATAATGATTCATAATTTTTAAAGGTTATACTCCATTTATAGTTATTATAAAATATTGGCTATATTCCCTGTGTTGTACAATATATCCTTGTAGTTTATTTTATACATAATACTTTGTACCTCTTAATCCTCTACTCCTATATTGCCCCTCCCTCCTTCCCTCTCCCCACTGGTAACCACTAGTTTGTTCTCTATGTCTATGAGTCTATTTCTTTTTTGTTATATTCACTAGTTTGTTGTATTTTTTAGATTCTTCATATAAGTGATATCATACAGCATTTGTCTTTCTCTGACTTATTTTGTTTAGCATAATACCCTCCAAGTCCATCCATGTTGTTGCATATCGCAAAATTGCATTCTTTTTTATGGCTGAGTAGTATTCTACTGTATGCATGTATGTGTGTGTGTGTGTGTGTGTGTGCGTGCGCATATATATATATATACATATATATATATATATATATATATATACATGCGCGCGCGCACACACACACACCACGTCTTCTTTATCCATTCATCTGCTGATGGACACTTAGGTTGCTTCCATACCTTGGCAATTATAAATAATGCTGGCTGCTATGAACATTGGGGTGCATATATCTTTTCAAATTAGTGTTTTTGTTGGAAGCTTTTAAATATACAGATCCCTAGGCTGACTCAGAATGCTGAGGTCACAGAGAATGAGATAGAGATCTGAATTTTATATTTCCCAGATGGTTTATGGATTAGCATTAGAGAACTGCTGTTTTAAAGGATTTTCTTATCTTCCAAATTAATGACTACAAAATAACACAATATAAAACACTACACCCACCTAAAGAAAATTTATATAGAGAAATTAAGGTTAATTAAAGCCTTAAAAAAAGAATTAATGTCTTACCCTTGAGGCTCTTGGACGGTCTTGTTCTCTACTTTTTGTTCACATTCTTTTATCATGGAAGTTAAAATAACCTGATTTAAAAAAAAACGACTTTAGAGAAATACTGTTAACATAGTAAAATGCTACGGTTTAAAGTTTTTAATTGAATTTTTAATATTCCCATAAGCTAATATGTTAACTAAAAATTGAAAATTTTGGCAGTTACTTAGTTAAAGGAATTCACATTGGATTGCTAGACTAGGTACCGAAATAGCTTTAAAAGATCTCAATCGTATAACTTAATAATTTACTTTGATTTTCACTAACCTTCCTTCTGAGTCTGATTCCATTCTCCCTTAGCTTTCCCCACTATCTAATGTTAAAAGTAAAATTTACATACATTTAAAAAATACACATACCATGGTCAGACATATTTTCCCAGTAAAAGCTGTTCTGTCCCTTGTCCCTTTCTTTTTCCAGGTTGCTAAAAGCAAGATGCTCTATTTTAAAGTCTAGGGCAGAGACCAGATATAGGTCTGTGGTCACTAAAACTGGGGAGACAATGGGTGTCTAAGAGTTGCTATCACTCTTGCGGGGAGACTGAGTGAGTAATGGAAAGGGTGGGGGGATGGAAGCTACTGCCCCAAGTGCTGGCACCCACACCAGAAACCAAATGGCCCTCCTGAATTTTCTTGGCCCATATTTGTGCATGGAGGTCACTAGACAACAAACTTATTGTCACCCTCTACGTGCTAGGCATGTTTTTAGACACAGAGGATGCAGCAAATAGACAACATTCCCTCCTTGTGGAGAGCTTATGTTCCTTTGTTATAGACAACAAACACAAAAAATAAGTAAATCATATAGTATATTACAAAGTGATAAGGGCTTTGGAAAGAACACTGAGTGAGATAAGGGGTATAGAAGGCCAAAGTGAAGAATATTACAATTTACATGGAGGTGTTCTAAGCAGGTTTCATGGAGAGGATGATATTTAAGCAAGAACCTGAGGGACATGAGGAGTAAGTGTGTGAGACCCTGGTTAGAGGCTGAGCAAAGACTCCAGGTGGGAGTATGTCTATTGTATTCTAAGCCTGGAAGCCAGAGTGGTGGGTGCAGAGTGAGCAAGGGGGAAGGCAGAAGGTGAGGCCCGGGAGGTAAGGAGGAAGGAGCTGGGTCCTCTAGTGCCTTGCAGATTATGGTAAAGACTTTTGATTTTGTAATGTTTTCCCGCTCTCTCATCTGACACATTACAGATTTCATTTGTTTGGCTCTTTTCTTTTGCATCAGTGTTTTTTTGGGAGAGTTTTTGTACTTTCTCTTCCGCTCCCTGTATTGTCCGTTCCCTCCAGTATCCTTTTTCTTGTGTGTATATTTTCATCTCTGTCTTTGATGTCAGAGGCTTTTTTCAAATGGTTGGTGATCTTGGGATATCCACTAAAGACTGAGGTACTAAAACGTTGATTAGAATCTCTTCATGCATGAGTAAATTCACTTTAAGGTGACTCTGGCACAAACTTTCTGCCAATCTTTTTTTCCCTGCAAATATAATTCTGGCTGCCACCCCATTCCTGGAGCTAAGAAGGAGAAAGGTAATGAGGTTTCTAATGACTAACTATACCTTTGACTTAATTTCCCTCCTTTCATTATAGCACCTTATTCCTGCTCTCAGCTAGGCCTGATATCTCAAGTCTAGAAAGGAAAGCTCCAGTCTTCCACCAAGGTTCAAAAGGGAATCTGGGAGTCTGATACTTTCAAAAACTTTTAACCCTCCCCCTATTTTCAGTCCCACACTACACTAATGGAAGGTAGTGAAAATAAGGCTTCTTATTTGTTCTATTTTACAAGTAGTCTTCATTTTCGATGCAAAAATCCTGAACAGAATACTAGTAAACTGAATCTACCTTCATATAAAAGGAATTATATACCATAACCAAGTGGGATTTATTGCAGTAGTGCAAAGGTTGCTTTAACATGTACAAATCCATTAATATAAAATATTGTAAGAGAATAAAAAACACAACCATGTAATCATCTCAACTGACACAGAAAAAAACATTTGACAATATTCAACACCCTTTCATGATAAAAATACTCAAGCAACTAGCAAAAAAAGTGAACTTCCTCAGGCTGATAAAGGGAATCTATAAAATATACAAAGCAAAAATTGAGAAAACTGAAAGGAGAAAGACACAACTCACAATCATAATTTTAACATGTCTTTCAATAGCTGATAGAACAAGCAGATTACAAAAAACTAATACAAATATAAGAGAACTGACTCATAAAATTAACTACCTTTACCTTATGAAAAAAAATCCATGGATCAATAAAAATATAATGGAAATGAGAATCTAATTTGAACTAAATGATAACAAAGCTACAATGCAGTAAAAGGGATGTGGCTAAAGGAGCGCTTAGAGGCTTAAATTTATGTATCGGAAAAGAAGAAAAGTTAACAAGTAAATAATCTAAGTCTCCTCCTTAAGGAGTTAGAAAAACAGAAAAAAAAATCAAATCTAAAGAAAGCAGAAGGAAATAAAGATGAAAATAGAAATCAATGAAACTAACACATAGAGAAAAGTCAACACAGCCAAAAGTTCAATATTTGAAAAAGTTAATAAAATTGATAAACCCCTATCAAAAGTATTTTAAAAAGAAAGCAAGAAACAAATTGATATCAGAAGTAAAAGAGGGGTAGCAATATAATAGATCCTACAGTAAGGAAAAGGGAAAAAAATAAAAGTATTACACAAGAATCTATTATTTACAGGTGACTTTTCTACACTTGAAACTTATAAAAAAATCCAGTGACATTTTGTTATTAGAATTAATAATAAAGTTTCTCAGGTTGGCCAGACATAAGTTCAACATACAAAAGTTATATTGTTTCTATACATCAGCAAGAAAGGGTTAAAAACCATATAATCCTAAAAAAGGTAGCATTGTAACATTATAGATATAAAGTGACAGTTTTTTCAAACAAAGTTATAAAACTTTATTAAAAGACATTAAAGGAGATCTAAATAAACATAAGATATAGTATATTCTGGATAGGAAGACTCAAAATCATGAAGTTGATGCCTCTCCCAATTAATTTATAGAATCAACTCAATTTCAATCAGAATCTCAATGAGATCTTTCTTGGAGTCTCATAAAATAATCCTAAAATTTACATAAAAACGCTAAGGGTCATGAACAGTTCTAAAAAAGGACAGGGTGCTGGACTTGCCCTATTAGATTTTAGGACTTTTTAACAAGGCAACCGTAATGAAGACAGGGTATCAATGTTACAATAATTGAGAAAGAGACCAGTGGAAAAGAATGTTCCCTAATAACAGACACATGCATACAAGGAAACATCATCTATGATAGAGGTGGCACTGCCAATCAGTATAGACATGATGCACTGTTCAATAAACAATAATGGGACAACTGGTTATCCATATAGAAAAAAATGCAACTTAAGCACTACCTCACATCATACGTAAAAACTAATTTTAGATGGATTAAGAATTTTATTGTGAAAATACAACTTTAAACATTTTAAGAAGAAAGTATAGGAGATCATGTCATGGAACTGATCAATCAATCTATTAAAAAATTAAAAATCAGTGTTCAAATGGGCCAAAAATGTGAAAAAACATCAAAAATTGGAAAAAGATATTCATAAAACACAAAACTGACTGAATACTGATATTCCAATTATATAACAAACTTCAAGGAAATAATAGGAAAAAAGACAACCCAAAGTGGGAAAAATGGGCAAAAAACCTAAAAAGGCTTTGATGTTAGTGAACATACAAATAATTCTCAAGTTTGACAATAATCAGGGAAATGCAAATGAAAACCATAATGATATACCACTTTATATCTACTGAATTTAAAAAGTCTAAGAATACCAAGTGTTGACAAAGATATGGATGAAAAGGCTACATACTCCTGCATGCTCCTATCAGGTCTGAAAAGTGTCCTTTCGGTGCAGCACTTTGATCAGTAGTGATCGTAGAGACAGAAGATTTGTTGGATTACTGTGATGGTAATGAATACGACGTACCAACAGACAGTGTGAAAGTTGAGAGAGGGGGTGTAAACTGCTGGGAGGAAAAAGAGATATGAGGGAGGGATGAAGGGAAGATTTTGTTTTTGTTTTGATTTGTTTAGGAGAGAAGAGTCAAACACAATAATAGTTTAAAGAAAAGCTGCTAGAAAAACAGGCTGAAGATATAGAATAGGAAATAAATGACAAACAGGGTTTTGGAGAATACAGGAAGACAAATAGAATGAAAAGAGTTATGAGGAAATGGAGAGAGAAAATAGAAACTTTGCTTCTAAGAAAGTTAATGGTCAGAGATAATACTGTACAGCATTTTACAGATAAAAAGCATTTCACATACACTCTCTTACTAAATTCTAACTATATTCAGTGAAGGACAGTACGTTATTCCTACTTTAGAGAATTAAACAGAATCTCAAAGATGTTGAAGGAGTGTCTTAAGATCTCATAGCTAGTAAATAAATCCATAAAATGATGCTGAACTAGACTTTAAAAAATTAGGCACAGCATATCATAATCACACCTCATATGGAGAAGAATCAAAGTCTATATAGGAGATATTAAAACACATGAACATGGCACTGATAATCACAGTGGCTTAATCATGATAGTAGCTTACCTCATGCTCTGGAGAAAGATGTTCCATGTCAATTCGTAAACATCTGAGACCAGGTAAGAAGTGATTAACCATTAAATCCTCTGAAATGACTTGAGATGAGGTAGTTAAGGAGATTAAAAAAAAACAAACTGGTATGTCCAACAGAACAACAGAAGAATATAGAAGAAGCAGATCTCTTAAATGCTGCCTATGGCATGCTGATCACTTAGAGCAAACAGGCTTCTGTCAAGCACGATCTGTATTTGTTGAGTTAGTCACTTGTCAAGAGGCAACTGTGTTTATTCCCACAAATCTCCTTATGTCAGTGGCATTGATTATTGTAACAGCGCGTAATTTAATTACATGGTATGTAAACGTTATGAAATAATAAGGGTGAAAATTAAATCATGAAATTTAATTGGATGTTTAAATGAGTATGAAAAGTAAAAAAATTAATGTTTCCATGACAACTAAGTTGAAAGTTTCAGAAAAAATTGATAAAGGCCAGTTGCTTAAAACACTGCTGCTTGGATACATATAGCTGATTCACTTTGTTAAACAGCAGAAACTAACACAACATTGTAAAGCAATTATACTCCAATAAAGATATTTTAAAAATTGCTGCTTAATTATATATATGACAACTGTAAATATATACATATTTAAATATAAAGAAAAATATAAAAATCTAGAAAAATTCAGTACCCAGTATCAGAAATGTTTCTGGATTCTCTTTAAAGAAACTTAAGCTAAAATTCATAGACAATTATATTACAAATGTGGTTCACCTAAGAAAGCTGATGTTTAATTCTAATCAGCAGACACACAAAAGAAATGCCTCAGTCCTACATCAAAAGCTTGGTAAAAGAAATGACATTTATGTGTTTAAGTTAAAAGAAGTTCTCTTAGGTATATACCATTTTCCTGATTTCTTATTCTAACCATTCTGTTAAACTGACCCACACTGGTCCTCACTGAATTGGGCAAGAGAGCTTTTGCTGTAATAAGTTTAGTACTACTTATATTTCCTAGCCATATGAGTTTTAGTTGATTATATGACATTGAAAGGAGTCAGGAAAGCAGATGCATTTCTCAAACAATTCACCTTGTTTATTCACATTGCTTCTGACACATTCTCACCTATTATAGTTGTGAGCCATCTAAAAATATTTCTTATTTAATATTATACCATATTAAAGTGAAAAATGCCAGTAAATGAGTTCCTTTATGAAGATGAGTTAGTCTTTCTGAAAAAAATAATAAATTATATTAAGTAAAAAAAAAATCCATATAACTACTGCCTTAAAAATATAGTTATAAATAAACACTAGTTGTAAATAAAACTCCTATAATTGAGTGACTTATAAATAGGTAGTTATAAAAATATAGACATCATTTGGTTGAACCAAATCCCTATAGATATACAAAGTTCTACAACCTAATGGCTATGTAGTTTTATTTTCTGGGTATAGGAAAAGTATCACCTAGATATATCTGTGAGTGACCTTTGGATTAGAGAAAGGTCTCTGATCTAGAGAAATCTGGGCATGGATTGAGAAACTGAAAATGGCCTTACTTGGTGGTAAGAGGGAAGACACTTTCCTTCTCCTCTCTCTCTACCCACTGTTTGGTCCTTTTCCCCCATGGAACCCCACAATCTTTCTTAGGGGATGGAAACTTAGAGATCATTTAGTCCTATCTGACGTTAGGAATCACCTCTACGTCATCTGTGAATGGTGGTCATAAAGCCTCTGACTGCTAACAATGACAGGACATTCAGTTTTGTAAGACAGATCTCTGCATTTTTAGAGAGCTCAATTTGAAAGTTTTTCTTATAAACACAATAGGCCTCTCCATGACCTCTGCTTGTTAGTGTTTGCTCTGCATTTTAGTTACACAAGCGTGCCTAACCTTTTTTCTATATAACAACCTTTAAAATAATTCTCAAATTATCTTTTCATGCCTAAACCATTTCTTTTCCAGGTTAAACATTTCTAAATTCCTTCAAATTTTTCTTAAACATGATTTCTTGACTTAATACCATGCCAAATGTTAAATTATATAGATTTCCTATGTCCCTATTGAAACACGATGTCGTGCTGAAAGGAATACTCTTGTGTTCTATCAGCTCGTAATTCAATAGAACAGCAGAACAGATATGGACAATGTGATTTTATTAGTGGCCATAACCACCCTGTTGACACAAGTACAAGTTCTGACTCACGGAGAACTAACGCTTTTAGTACTTGAACAGGGTCTATTGTTAAGATGGTTCTTCCCCTTACTGTGCTGTTATAAAGACTTTCTACTGTATTTTCTCTAGTAATATTCTGTACATACCTAAATACACAATAATATTCCTTCTATACAGACTTCTATGCTCTTCAGAAACCACTGCTTAGTCCATTTGAAAATTAGATTAACAGAGCTAAAATTTTTAATCTTTTGACTTTCTCATTTTCCTTGAGGCATATTTCTTTAGAAACTCTGCTATATAAGATTACACACAACTCTTCACTTAAGTTTGTAAACATTTACTTTCGCAAAGTTTAGGGAATAGGTATAAGCGTATCAATGTTTTCTTTCTTTGACATGCCAAACTCTGACATGCCATTATTACTTTCTTGTAAGGGTCCTGTCACTTCTCCATTACTAAAGAGTCCTTTCTTGCTAATTCAGAATTATCACTTCCTCTTTTTGCTTCCTCTATCTTCTCTAAGTTGAAAATGCCAACAAGATAAATCAGGAATGATAGTAAGTTCTGCTTTTAGTGGAATTAAACTTATAGAAGGTATATGGTTAGTTGAGGCAAAATTATCAAAATATGGTATCTCTGCCCACTTTATGATCTATAGTATAAGAAAGTGGCTTATATCAGCCACATGAATAGGCAATTTGTAGCAGAGTCCCAAAATGAAATGCTCTCAACCACACATCGAACTTCAAGTTTTAACATTTCTAAAAGGACCAGTAGCTCCTTAACAGACAGCTCTGCATTTCTTTCTCTACCATCATTTTTTTTTCTGTCAAAATCATAATTCTCTGATTATGTTGTCTAGCACATATTTTTACGGTTATATTCAAGTGTTCAGCCGTTCACTCATTTTTCAATCTCTTATTTCCTCCTTTCTTGAAATATTCTGGCTTTTAATGGGAGAGCCTAAAAGCTAGAGTTTATTCTGCCCATATTTATCTTTACTTCCTTCTTACTTTTATTTTACTAGGCCAAGGATATTAAAGAGAACATTTAACAGGATAGCTAAAGTTCACCGTTCTAGTCACAGTTTTGCTTTTAATTATAAAAAACAGAAGTCACTAATGCCTTTAAGTTTTAGTTTAGTCATTTATAAAATGTAGTGGTTGACATGGGTTAGATGATCTCTGAGCTTTCCTCCAGTTCCACCATCACTGCAAATGATTAACCATGGTGTCCCTGTATTTTTTTCAATGAGTGATATCTCTCCAAGAGATATTCACAGGATCATAAAGACTGTTAAACATTCATTTAAAATGAATGCCAGGACACATACAAGGATTCCTTTTGATTAACAGAAGCCTCAGTTATAACTCATTGCTTGCTTAGTTATATAGCTGATTAACATACATACAATTTTAGTCAATGTTTTCAAAACTATGGAACATATAAACACAGAAGACTTAAGGTTATCTTTTAAAATTATGAGATGGCTAGAATAAGGAGCCATCTTATGGGGCAAGTCAACTCAAATTTTTAATCTTCTACTTAATTACTTCTTAGTTAAGTTGAAGAAAAAAATTCTACTTCTCAATCTTTAACAACTGAGGTTCACTGTAAGACTGATTATTAAATATAGAAATACATTAATAAAGCAAGGATACAACAACAGGAAAGTGCACTGTAGGCTTCAAAAAGATGGGTAGCAATATCCAGTCTTTTAGAATCCACGATTTGTAAGTTGTTCACCAAGGCTAACTTATGCAAATGTGGTATAACAACTGAAAAAAGAAAAAGAAATTATTAATTTTAATCTAAAACATGCTTATACATTAAAAAAATTTTTTTCATTTTATTTTATAAAATTTTATTTTAATTCTGGATGATTTCGAAAGATTACCCACATCCCATACTTGCTTTTTCGTCCTAGGGAAGAAAGCATGTTTTTCAGAATAAATAGTGATCTAGAATTTGGGAGAAATAGATTATAGCATGCCATTATAACCTAGTTATGATGATGTATACAGGTCATTTGGCTTCACTGCAATTCAGTTTCCCAATTTGAAAAATGAAAGCCAAACAAACAAATGTAAACAACCTACCTCTTGTGTTATTATCAGCTTTATAAATAAGTTTATATAAATCTTGTATTACTGTTGCTATTAAAAAGATAAATACAGTATACTGATTCATTTTCAATATCAAATTATTTCACTACTTCATGAAACTATTATTAGCTTTAGTTTCTCAAGTTCTTAGCAAAGACCAGGGTCAAATAGCACTGGTGGTTGAGTTTTCAAGTCACCTAATGGGCTCAATATCTTATATCTCAATGAATAGTGTAAAATTTCAAAAATACAGACAACACATTGCTAAAATTAAAGTGGTGGTCCAAGAAACAGTAACCATTTCAGTAGCACTGAGCACTCCTACTGCCTAAGATTGTGTTCTTTAAATACCATTTCCCACTAAAACCAGGGTCCCTTGCAGAAATGGCTTCAGGGTAAGTGATTATCAAATTGTTGATCACATGGTCCCATTCTAGTCCCTGCTTGGTTGGGGGACCCAAAACATGGTTCATAAGCACATACTTCTGACCAACTGTAGTGACTTCATTCATGTCTACCTTAAGCTTGTATATGTTAAAGCCACAATCTCCTTCTAGAAAAATCTCCTGCTTCCTCAATAAACCACTACTATAATTACAACTTTTATGCACCTTAGTAAACGGTAAAAAACCCCACACAAACTTAGGATAACAATGGCCATTTTTAGGGGACTTTTTGACTTATCAAAATTAATAACAACATACTTCAGAGGTGCTCTAGAAAAAATAAGAAGACAAAAAACTCCAAATATTCATTGAATTCCCAATGAATTCACTGAAACTCCGATTCATTAACTGGCATGCTGAGGCCTCAACAAAATGGTGGCTCTGAGACAAAGATTCTCTATTTCATTTCTGCCCAAACATTTTGAAACTGACCTTCCTTGCACTACTTTATCTATAAACATGTGGCCTCTATTCATTCCGCTCATTCCCTGATTTCCTACACAAGCAATCCTTTCCTCAGTGTTTTTCTCAGAAACTCAACAACCACACTATACAAGATCCCTTAAAACTGCTTAACTAGAAAACAAACCTATACAAGTTACTTTAAACTGTAGTCTACAGACAGTTAAAGGCTACAATTAAGGATATTCCTAAATCTCAGAAGATAGAAGTTTACTAAAGAATTCAACATTTCATTATATATGTATTGTCCTGGGCTACCACATCTGTACCAATTAATTCATTTAATTGTTAACCCCTCAGATGGAGATAAATGGTTAAAAGATTTAATAACCTAGATGTGAGTAATTCTACAACTGACCTTCGGTAGGCAAGGAAAACAGGAAATACACAACATAAGGCCACTTCTGAAGCCTTTCACTTAAGGGCAGATTGGACAAAGATTCAAAAGTGCGAACAAAATAAAGATAAATCAATAGGAAACTTTATAAAAATAGATTTTTGTAAACTTTTAAAAAATATTCTGGGGTAGATCCAATAGCAAAAGTGAAGGGAATCTTGTCCTCTCTTTTTGTAAATGGGCTTAGATCTAAAATAAGGAACTTTGAAAAAAACTGATCTGAAATGTAAAGCTGCCATGTTAGAAAATCTCCAAGGTATGACTGAACATTTTCAGAGAGACTTATAAAGTTAAAAAAGTAGAAAACAAACAAACAAAACTGTATCATGTTCTGAATGAAACAAATGGCCCCTGAGATAAAATCAGGACCAAAAGGTCCTATAATAACTAAGAGTTGGGAGAGAAAAAGGGCCACTGGAAGAACCAGTGTCTTCTATTCTCTAGGAAATAGAGGGAAAAATATCCAAAAATGCCACTCCAAGGAAGACATTACCACCCAGCAATTCTTTGTTCTTTCTCTAAATTCCTAACAGGAACTGTCTATAAATACAGATGGATAACAATATAGCATCCTTGTCAATATGGGTTCTACTTCATCTACCATTAATCTTATTAATATAGGAAACTAAATTCCGCAGGGTAAAGTTTTAAAGCAAAAGAGAAGCCAACTGACTGAGTAGTAAATACAGAAAAAAAAAAAAATTTTTGTCTTAAAAAAAAATATGTCTTGTTGTGTCAGAATGTGAAGGAAGATTGTATAAGACAAACTTGTGGGTATACAGTAAGTTGTAGAAGGCTTCAGGAATAATGGTTTACTACACCTATTCAAGCAGTGGAAACTGCTATTCTCAATTTTTTCTCAAGCCAATCTTTAATTGCTATATTGGGACCATTATGAAAAGAATATTTCTCTTTTCTATGTGATACATAAATCTTTCTTTTGAGTGTACACAAAAAGGTTAGATCATATTCTAGACAGTTATTAACTCAACAACACGGCACCCACCAAAGACGCATTGCCTATTCAGCCTATTCCTTGATCCAACAGCCAAGACTTATTCTCCTTGCTTCAGAGCAATTACAGACAGCCTCAAAAAAGTTAGTCAAAGCACCTGTAGAGGGTCACCTGTAAATCTGACGTTACTATGATGAGGAACTATCCCTAATGCTAACTAAAATACTAAACGTTTTTCTGTTAACTGATTGTGAAATACTGTTATTTTCTCCTCATGCTACCAACACTATTACCCATTGAAAAATAACCTTGTGGTTGCTTCTGTAGTTCAATATGTGTTCATGCCCTCAACAGACCTTTTGGACACTGCGGTCCAAATCCTGACAATATTTTTGTTGTTTATCTTAAAAATACCAGGTTAGATATGCAATAACTAGTCTATGGGAGAATCCAATTTTGTATGGAAACCAAACTGATGTAAGAAGCCAAACTTGCGAACTTTCCAAAAGCATGGCAAATTGCTAAAAATAAAAGGACTAAGGTATAACAGTGATAACTGTCATGCTTTTGGAGTAATAATTACTGGATGCTTTGATGACACCCAAAGAAATTGTTGTCATAAAGTAAAAAGTGATACTATAGAAACCGGAGAAAATGCTTTAGCAGATCATCATGCAGGTTATTTAGCAGATCAACAAGCCATGATTTAAAACAAAATAGTGGAATGGCATGCTAAGTGGAAGAAATGTATCTTTCATAAGAACATGTCTAGAAACACATAAAAATTTCCTTAGAAATAAGAATTAAATAATAAGTTCTAAATATAATGAGCACAGTATTTTGAAATTAACAGTTAGGAAGAATTATTTTAAAAATAACTTGAAATTATTTATGAGTTACTTTTCATACGTCTACAGCAATCACTATATAGTATAAGAAGCCATTTAATAGCAGTTAATAGTAATACCAATCAATCCACAATAACAAACTTGTTTCACTTTCAGCTTTCAGTATGTGAAAGATAAGGTGTAGAAAGGTGTCATGTAACACATGACAAATCCTCAGTGAGGCTTATGGTCTCGCTCTTACATTACAATTCAGGAAAAATGGTAAAAAAAATGCAACTTACACTCATCTCGGAACCTTGGTTCTGCATTAGGCCCAACTCTACCAAATGTTTTTATGATTTCTGTATGCAAAGAATACTGGTCTTGATATTGAGGATCTTCCAGGAAAGAAGCCAACTGCATTTTCACTCTTTCCAGCAACTTAAAATTGAATATTGTACAGTCAAATTGAGAGAAGGATACACACTAAACATGGCTTGCATCACTGGATTCAAATGACTTATATCAACATAATAGTAAAAATTTGGAATTAAATAAGTACTTATTTAGTCTTTTGGCTCAGAAAAGATCTTAAATTTTTGTTTATGCTTGTTAATTCATTTTTTGTTTTTTAAAAACACAAATATTCCCTGAAAAACTGTAGAAAAGACCCCACAATATTTAGGGATAAAGATAGAGTTTTGATGATTTTGTATCTAAACTATAATTCTTAAAACAAATCAGAGTGTAAGTTACCCACTTATTCATCTTCTGAAAGCAATGAGTCATTAATGACTTACATCTTACTCATATTTCCCTAAAAGACATTTTTATTTTGGGATTTAAGAACATGTTGAAATTCTGCCAAGACTGCAAGCTTTGCAGAACAGTGTGTTTTTTTATTTTGCTCCACCGGTGAAATATGTAAGTGAAAAAACGGAAAAGATTTTTTCCCACAACTAACACGGTTGTTTAATTTTTGTTATAAAAAAAATCTATATGACAAAAAGATTTTACGGAACAGTTTAATATATATATATATATATATATATATATATATATATATAATTTTTTTTGGTAAAATGTCTATGAGATGGAAAACCTTGTTTTCCATTTAAGTGGCTAAGTGATATGCCCACAAATAATTTACTTTCTAATGTATAGGGTTTTTCATTGTGTAAGGACATGTCCAATTTGATAATAAAGAATAAAATTCTGATAACTAATTTTGAGAAGTGTCTTAGAGTTAATGTTGCAGATAGAACCTAACAAACTGAAAATTAAATCACAAGTTTCTGAATCAAAATACATATTTAGGGAGGAAGACTTTGGTAATCTGCTGAAGCAGGCGTGACAGAGGGTTGTCACAGTGATGTGTGCTACAAAAAGATGATACCAGTCTACGACATGACTTGCAGCTTGATTATCAATGACAGTTACAAGAACATAGGTACCCTCTAGCCTCCGTTCGTGAAACTGAGAAAACCTGTCTTCAAATCTGTACAAACTGGCAATTGGGAATTTATGTAGATTATCCAGAAGTCTACTGGATAATAGAAGCCTTTGGAGCTAAATCTGCTTTGAAGGATTATTCAAAACTGCAATATCCAGATAGACTTAAAATAGAACATCTGAGAGTTGGCTTATACTTAATTTTCTAGTTGAGAAGAAAGACTAGCGATTGCCTTCGCATATGAAAATATACTTTTGGTAGGCTATCATATTTTCAAATTCTGAGATCCTCTTCTGGCCCATAAGTAACTAAGAAATAAAATGAAGGGTATGATGCTACTGGGTACATGTATAGTAATGTGTTATCATTACCTCAACAGTACATAAATAAATTCCAGTCATTTCCTACCTCTCTTTGAATAACTGTTTCCATAATAGTGCCAAAGGCTGGAATTGTGGCAATCCTGACAGAGCTGTTAAAATTAAAAAAGAAAGAAACTGAAACTTTCTTTGAGATGAAAAACTGATTATTATTAAAATATATATCAAAGTAAGTACAAGGTAAATATACTGTATTAGTCTCTAGCAATGACAAATTAAATTTAAAAAAAAGCAGACCAAGAAGAATGCTCAAAAAGACAGACAGGATAACTTAAGGTCGCAGTCTGTGAAACTCACAATTCAGGATCACTGGACAAGGTAACAAGGGCCGGAGCAACCCGCTTGTCAACTAACGCTTCACTCATGCCTCGAAGAGTCAGCTGTAAACCAGTCAACATGCAATAAAAAATGGTTTGGTAAACTGGAATGAGAACTGGGTTAGCTGTGACTGAGGATGGGCAGGCAGACTCAGTGGCCTTTCTTGGTTTAGTCACCCACACGAGACATTAAAATGTTAAGCCTCTGGTTCATGCCACTATACTTACTGGTAACAACATGTTAGTGAGATTAGAGAGCATCCCTTCTTGGCTTGGAAGAAATAGTCCATCAGCATGTTTTAAGTTTTGGAAACGTTTATTGAGGACTAATAAATACTACTAATATATTCTTTTCAATATATGGCCTTGTCATTAGGCTTACTGTGAAGGTTGACTTAAAAAAAATACATGAATAGTAGTATAATAAAGTTTAAAATCAAGTAAGCATAATCCAATATTATTATTTTAAAGAGCTAAATCTAGTCTTCAGTGAATTTAAAAGCTGATGGTTATTTCTTGACAGGCGCATTTTGAAAGGGATGCTGAATGTAAAAGGTAGGAACGACACTTACATTTCAGGGTCACTGGAGAGAGTTATGAGAGCAGGAACAACCCTCTGAGCTACCAGAGTTTCATTCACCCCCTTCACCAACAGCTGATTGATCAGCACAGGGGGTATTCACAGGTGATGCATGGAAAGAGCAAACACAATGCCACAGGAAGAAGAAAGGAACAACCAAGAGAAAGAGAGAAACACAAAAGCAAAACCAAAATTAGAAGCTAAGCAAATATTGCTACTAGAGTGCTTTATAAAGGCAGAGAATGCTTAGGAGAAAAATAAAGCTTACACAGCCTAGCAGTCCCTGAAAACAGTTTGTTACCAATTCAATGACAGTTTGTACTTTTGGTCAAATAGTCTATGCAATTTCCATGTTCAATTTAAAAGAAAGCTTTACCTTTTTTTTTTTTTCTTTTAAAGAAACTAAAAAGACATACTGGGTTCTATGGTTAAATTCTTTAAATAAATCTGATATAATTTTGTTATGACCAACAGGGTACAAACTGGACTGTTTTTAAACCAAACTCAAATGGCTAGCAGCCACCACTAAATTGCTTCTGATTGTTCTGATGCAAGTAAATTTAAAAATCACATACAAAAATTCCCAACCTTTTACATCATGTAGCTTTATTCCTTGAGGTACAGAGATATAATGTAACCTAGTGGAAAGTACTTATTTCATGTGGGAATCAGACCTGGGTTCAGATTCTAGCTCTCCACTTATTGGTCATGTGGTCTTAGATATATTACATAATCCCTTGAAACTCAGTTTTCTCATCTGAAAATGGTGACACTATCATCTACCTTAAAGGATCACTGTGCTACTAACTACACATAATATACTTAAATATTGTGTCTGACAAAGACTAGACATTCAAGAAATGCAAGCTGAATTATTGTGACTACTCCAAGGACATAAGATTTGTGATATATTTGGAAAAAGAAATTATTAACTAAAAAATGTTTTTGTCTCGTCCAAGTAGTTAATGTTTACAAATAGTCCTTTGTTTTGCATTTCTCTAAAAGCTCAAATAAAAAAAAAATACAATGAGCACAATTAGACCTATTGCTATAATCTAATCATAAAAACAATTCATTTAGCAACCAACCCTAAATCGCAGAACTAGAGGACAATATTGAGCTGTACGCATTGTTTTTATAAAAATTACGGAATTTTATGAGTTCAACAGAAAAGGGTAACATCCTAATCCTACGTTCTCTATTTCAGAATGTAAACACAAATGCTAATCAATCTCTTCACCTTGTAATGGAACTAGTCCTCATGGAAGATGGAAGATGCTGTGGAATTTTTAGTAACAAAAACACAACACTGTGTTGGGTTAACTATTCCTCCTACACAGCACATCAGAGAGCAGAGCTCCCTTTATCAGAGGTTTTTAATTTTACACTAATCTGTTACCATTTAACAACTGATACACTTTATTTTATTTTTTTTTTTGCTGTACGCAGGCCTCTCACTGTTGTGGCCTCTCCCGTTGCGGAGCCCAGGCTCCGGACACACAGGCTCAGTGGCTATGGCTCACAGGCCTAGCCGCTCCGCGGCATGTGGGATCTTCCCAGACCGGGGCACGAACCCGTGGTCCCCTGCATCGGCAGGCAGACTCTCAACCACTGCGCCACCAGGGAAGCCCAACTGATACACTTTAGAATCTACTTCAGTATTCTGAAATAATTTTTATTTCAACAGAACCATGGATAATTTAGGCAGGAATAAAATGACAAAAGAACTTCTGTTACTACCTTAAACATTACAGATGTCAGGTAGAAAGAAATAGGGGGAAGAAGTTCAAATACATTATATACAACTTTCTTCTCTGTATCATTTTATAAATAAGGTAGCTTAGATTCGAATTAGTAAAGTGTATCTTGAAGTGTCTAACTTGTGCCAGCCAAAAGGCATTAAAAAAAAAAAAAAAGGGATAATCCGGGGGCAAGTTAATTTTTCATTGCACTGGAGTTTTTAGGTTTAATTTAATAAGCTGGAAAATCGGAAAACAAAATTTAAGAGCTATTAATTATTACACATTTAGACACAGTTTATCATTTGATTTTTAAACATGATGAGGTAAGTACAATTATTATTAATGTTTTAACAGATGAAGAAACTGAGCCTGAGAGAAGTTAAATAACTTGCCCAGGGTTTTAGAGCCCAAAAGAGGTAGAGCTAGAAAATGGACTCAGTCACATTTGTCTTAAAAGCCCATGCCTTCTTTGAGTTGTGGTCTTAATGTTACCTGATTTATCTCCTTATGATTGATGTAAGAAATCATTATATGAAGTTCTTTTCTGCATCGTTTGGGAAATCCATTATGTCACACTGGAAGTCACATAATAAAGTCTCTTTTATAAATCAATTTCAATAATAATTTGTTACATCAAGAATATATTGTCTCTTATTTAACAATGAGAATAATATGACTGATTGGATTTCCCCTTTTTGCCCTGCTGTCTGAAAACTCAGAGCTAAATTTAGTGTTCAATTTCACTAAGTATCTCATATTATGTTCCTGGTATATCCATTTATTGCTTTCTTCTCAGTAGTTTCTGGTCTCACATTAAAAAAATTAAAAATTTTAAGTGACCTGTTTTTTATGTTTTTATTTTGAATTAACTCATCTTGGGGGTGGGGGAAGCAGGCATAACTGTAAATTATAAAGTATTAGTATCAAAAGAAATCTTATGAAATAATTATTCTTTTAATACAATATTATTCAAAATAAGCCTCACTGACAAAAAAGTAACTTTAATTTTTCCTACTAATGACTTTTATTGGCATGCTCAGTAAAAATTTTTTTATCATAAATGAACTTGAAAAATCATTAAAATAAGTCTCTCAGATTAGACTCAGAAACTCATCATCAACTGAGAGAACACTGAAAACTGCTTAAGCATAGGTATAGTTTCCAACCAGCACTGACAGCAGACATAGAAACCAAAACCAGACAAAAACCACATGTAAGAAATAAGGCAGAAAAAACCCCACAGAAACAAGTAAAAAGGGAGGACGCTTCATTTTCTTTATTTTCATTTATATTGTATGCTTCACCAGTATATACATACATTTTAGAAATAAATGGTTTAAGAGAAAGAAATAGCTGTTATGGTCTTAGAATAAAATCCTATTAAGTGAGTACATTAAAGAAATAGGATACTTTTTTCTTTTGGGGGGGAGAGGAGGCTAAAGAAAAACCTTTTTCTTTCATGGTAATAATTATTTTCAGCATATTGAATAATCAAAAATTATTTATACCCAGAAGGCACTTATGCTAGACATCTAACTGAATTTTTAATTTGGAATTTATCTTGACAAAGAACATCTGATTAGTTATTTTTTATCAAATATGTATAATTGTGGGAATAACATGTTCAGAGGATTTTCAACCTCCTCATAAGGATGGAATTTTCTTTAGATTCCACAAATCTATTTTAAATATTTAAGAGTTTTAGAAGGTATATATTTCAAACCTGTCAGTGCTCTATCCTTTAGATTGCAATTTATCTTAAATTATGTAAAAATTCTGAAATTCAGGAAAAATTGAATTGTCTAATTCTTATGAAAATAAGTGCTTTAAGATATTTTAAGAATCACATGTGTGTATTAAGGACAATTTTAGTTTGGATAAGTATACTTTTCCTAAACTATTATATTATTTTGTGAAGTAACAGCATATTAAAAAAACAGTAATCATAATGATAGTTAACATTTATTAAGCTCTTATTATTATGTGACAGACACTGTTTTAAGACCTTAGAAGTATTAATTCATTTAATATTAATAAAAATCCTTTGAGATGGATACTTATTATTATCATCTTCACTTACATTATAGATGAGAAAACTAAGGCACAGAGAAGTTTGAAACTGGCATTAAGTGGCAGAGACAGACACTGAACCCAGCCAGTATGGCTCTAAGAGAAGACTCAAGAACAGTAAATAACACTCTAACCCACTTTTAGTGCTCAAATTCAAGTTCTAGAAACATATATATATGTACACTAGGCTAACATATTTCCTCTATGATGGATAAAAAGATAGGTATTCCAATTTTCGTACTAAACTTGGGTAGGTGGCAATTTAAGAAAATCTAGTTAAATTATATGAAGTCTCTTCTGTCTTATAAGTCTACAGGCAGTTAATGTATAGAGATGTTGTTATTCCAGATATGAAAGGTGAGGGAATAATGAAGTAGGAATAATCAGTAAAATAAATATTTCCATAACTGCAAGTATGAATCCAACTATATTTTCCTCATGAATCCAACTATATTTTACAACCTTAAAGATATCTTATATTGTTTTACTTTATTTTAATAGCTGTGTGCCTCAGTAAATAGAAAGTATAGCCAGGAAGATTTACATAGGATGGAAATTAAAATAAGATTTAAAAGAAATTCTGAGAAATGGAAATGATAATACAATAACATTCAAGGAACCAATAAGGCTAGAAAATAATCTGAAAAGTACCAAAGCTAAATTTCTGCCCCATCACACAGTACACAACTAGATACTCTTCAATGCCATAAAATATACATCAACATACCATAGTATGAAAAGCCTCTCTGCCTTTTTAAGAAATATTCCCTCTCCCTCTTCCAAAGAAAATCATTATGATCTGAACCAATAGAAGCATTTGTTTACATACCTCAAACATTCTAGCAGCAGTACATCTCACAAGTGCTGAAGTATGGACAACACCATACCACAAAACAGTTAACAATAACTCATGGTAGGCTGGATTTGCACTGAAAGAAAAAAAATCAATGCTAAAAGTGAGAGCCACATAGTTCTGGTTTAAAACATAAAAAGGTATATTCTTTCATTAAAGTCTATTTTGCCTTACTGGTGTATTGAAAAATACTACATTTATGAGGAATATTAATGATAAAAATATTGGCAAAACATATAGAATTAGTTTGTATGGTTTAATAGGTTACATCTAAGATTCTTTAAAAAAGGAAGTCACCTTATAAAACTACAAACTTTTAGCATATTCAGGAGTTATACTTTTAGTTTCTCTAAGTACTTGCAATTATGACAGATATTTCAACTCTTTAATAGCATAAAAGTTAAAATTATAAAAAAATAAAGTAAAATAAAATTTTTACTTATGAGAAAGAAACACTGGCCTAAGAGCCAGATGGGTAAGTTATAACCTCTGTGGGTTTTAATTTCTGCATCTATAAAAATCTGGGACAATACTGCCCTATTTACATCATATGGTTGTGTAATCAATAAGGATCAATAAGGATAACTCCAATCACCTATATGGAAGGGTAAGTTGGCTGTGAAGACTATCCAAATGTGGGACAGTATTATTAATAAACACATAAGTAAAGAATGAGATAAAACTACTTAAGCAGCTAGATGATGTGCTTATGAGGGACTAGGCAAATCAAATGGAATGGAAAAAGGAGCCTAATGAGCTGGCTTTCACTTGGGGCTCCTTTTCCAGTTTTGGGATACTGAATTTTCTTCAAATCTGTACTTGACTTTATTTCTCCAGCTGCTTCAAAGAAGATATGTCTGTATCCTTTCCCTCATTCTTTTATTATAATGCATTGATTACAAAATATTAAGAATGTACAAATAAGAAAACCCAAAAACAAACAAAAAAATCTTAAGTCTCAAAACCAAGAGATTTGGTGTGTATGCCAATCTTTTTAGACTAAAAGTATGTACTCTATAAATCCAATTTTAAAACTTTATATAGCTTTTAAAAAACTATAAGCTATTATTTTTACCCCAGTTCCACAAAAGAAGCTTTCAGGCTATCAAGAGGAGCATGAGATAATGAAAGCAAGGTCATTACATCTTCTAAGAATCCAATTAACAGCTTTCGGTCTTCTTCCTACAGAGGAAAAAGACTGATAATGAATTTCCACCCAGTCAAGTAGAACTAAAACCATAATTTCCTAACTATAATTACAAAATTTTACCAAATAAGGGGCAAATATCCTAATTTGGGAGCATTTTAATTAAAGATATTTATTAAGCATATCTATGATCACAATGGTGTGAGGACAAAGACTATCTTGATTCACAGATTTAGACCCGTGGTGTCCAATATGGTAGCCACTCACCACATGTGGTTACTTATATTTAAACTAAAAATGAAGTAAAATAAAAGATTCAGTTCCTGAGTTGCACTAGTTACAATTTAAGTTGTTTAACAGCCATGTGTGGTTAGTGGTTACCTTACTGGACAGCTCAGATACAGATTACTTACATCATTGCACTGTTGATTAGATAGTTCTGGTTTAAAACATAACAAGGTATATTCTTTTATTAAAATCTATTTTACCAATTTTACTTCCCATTAACTTTGGCTCTAAATACTTAAATACAAACCACTAAAATAGTTATCCTCCTAATAGTAGAAAATTGATATCTGAGAAATTATTAGTGGTGAGAAGCTTCACACTTGCTGAAATATAGACCACTGTGTTCTTAAAACAGTCACACCCTTGACTAAAAAATAATCTTTACTTTTAATCTTTCTTTTACAAACCATTATTTTAGTAATCTGAAAAAATATTTCTTTCTTTTTTCTTACACAGTACTGTATTAAGAAATATGTTAGAAAAAGCAGGTCTACTAAATAGGAAAGTTAAAAAAATAACTGTATGTTAAATTAACCTGAATCTGTAAGGGAGGGAATCTGACATTCTATCAGAAAGTAAATATATACAGAGTCAGGTATTTTGTCTTTAGGTCTTTATTAGCTCAACAATAAATGGCTTCTGTATATATCAATAGATCCATGAGGAAGACTAGATAACCACCTACCTTTTTTCTACATGGTCAGGTTAATTTAGAATGAGGTACAGATAAGTGATTGACAAAAGTAATGATCAGCATGAATAAAGGATGGACACAGCAGTTTTATAATACGCCAGTCTATTTAGGGAAGAACTTAGACACTGACAAACCAGCATCAGAGCTATGTTGGAATATAGATCTCACTCATTTATAGTCGCTTACTATATTAAACAGAGTATCCATAAATTTGGAAGATAAACTGTAAATCTGAAAAAACAAGTGTGAAATGAGACCTATGAAATATACTTCTAAATGAGCACGAATTCCTTTGATTTGAAAATTTACTATAATACTGTTTCTCAGCTTTGAAATTTAATACTGCTCATGTATTTGATTCAAAATAGGTTTTGTTTACCAAAGCAATCAGGGTGTGATTAACTCTAACAGAAAATTTGGTTTAGTAAGAAAAATATTAACAGCTGGTGTGGGCAATCTAGGACAGCCACCTCAATTCACATTTTGTAACCAGCAGGAAAGTTCTTATCTCTTTAGATATTTGGATTTCATATAGTGGCTCAAAAAGCATGTCTTTATTCATTTATTCAACAAACCTATACTGAGGGACTACCATGAGGCAAACCTTGTACTTCATTATGCCTTAAAATACCATTTATGGTGAAAACCAACATACTAACCAACTGCCAGAGCTTAAAAATGAGAGAGAAAAATATTGACATCACACTTGTTATTATGCGGAAGAGCTTCTAAAATTACAGAGGAAAATGGTATTCACGTTATTGTGCCTCGTAATATGTGCTAGGACTTAATCTCCATGAATTTAAGAATAACAATAAATACAATCTGTTAAGGTTACATGACTTAAAATATTCTAAACACAGGGATTCTCTGTGTATACATATTATGGAGTAGTCTTAGAAACTAGTGAAGAAAAGTTTAAAAAAATACTGTACTACTTTAACAGAGTTGGAGCTTCTGTTTCAAGGTATCATATGATGCTGTAGAACTATATTTTAATATTATAGGATGGTTCAAATCTATTTTGGAAGAAGAGTGCAATAAATATGAACTGCTTTACTCTGAATACAAAAGGCAAAAGAAATTAGGTATTAATCGGGTAAATTTGGGAAAAAAGATCTTCCTGTTTGCTTCTCACATTCTAATTCCTAAAAATGCTTTATCTTGAGTCTGTATCTTCGCCTCACAGGTGGAACTGCCTCACACTTAAAAATGACTGATGTGCCTTAATAAACATAATATGTTTACTTAAAACAATGTTAAGTAGAGTGAGGTGGTCTGTTACATTGGAGACCACCAATGAACCACATCTCCTGGTTCATGCTCTCATTTATTTCCCTCTTTTTGAATCTGGGCTGGGCCTGTGACTTGCTTTAAGCAACAGAATGCAGTAGTAGTGATGTGCTAATTCCAAGCCTAGGCTTTAGCCTAGCAGATTCTGATTTTGCAATTTTGGGAGCCCTGAGCCACCATGTAATGAGTCTGGCTCTGCTGTTCCACAGGCCCTGAGGACAGAGAGAGGCCCTAAGACTACATGGAGACTGAAGCTCAGCCATCCTTGCTGAACCCCCTACCAACCAACCAAGTGAATGCAGCAACACAAGCGACTACCAGCAAGAAGAGACGCTTAGCTGAGCAAAGATCGTGAGCAAATAAAAGAGTTATAATAAGGCTTTACGTTTTGGGGTAATTTATTATGCAGTAACAATTAAGAAAAATAAAGTATTACTAAAGCATACCTTACTAAAAATGATGATATAGTATGCTACAGCATTTTGTAGTTTGCTTCACCTAACACATGCGCTTTGTTGTTTATTAATGAAAAAATTATCAGGAAACACAAAGAAATTACTAAATAAGTGCAATCTAACACCTCTAACAAAATATCAAGAAGCACAGAATCTCTAAATTTATTTGTCCAACAGAGATTTTCCTCAGAGACTATTACTGAAATATGCTCACCACTGTAAATTATTTATTGAATGAAATGAATAAATAAATTTTGTTTTCACTTATGGGTAGCATTTTCAATTATAAGCACATTAAAATACATAATATTAGCTATCTTTCTAAATAGAAAGTGCTTTACATTTTCCAGCAAAAGAATTTTTCCCTTACCTGAATATAACACGTAAGGACTCCTGTTGCATAAATGGGGACAGTAGCTTTAGTGAGGACCCCATTTCCTGCTGAGGAATCTAAAATCACAAAAACAATTTTAAAAATCTGAGTATGCTTTAAATGTAAAGCAAAAAGTCATAAGACAAATTATATTTAAAATTACAACTGGTTACAAAGCTTACAAATAAATATTATTACTTTAAAAAATATTTTGATTAAAACACATATCCACTGGTGGTTGTGAAAATATTATACAACTTAATACTTTTCAGAGCCATTAGCATAGACAGTTTTGATAGATGGGAAAAACTTTAATAACCAAAATGAGATGCTCTACTGTTATTTGCACAGTCAGAAATCAGAGCTTTCTTTAACACTCTCCCAAGTGCCCGTATAAGCAGGTCTTCATAAATTGTCAGGTTTTCAATTTGCAGTATTCAGTAAAATGTAAAGGCACTCAGCTGAAAGGAGGCAGCCAGATATACATTTTACCTGCTTCCAGATACGAGATACTATTTAGTTTCCAGTGCTAGCCTAGTTCCAGAGCTCCTCCTGCGTCCTGTATAGGGATTTTCAGCCAGACAGAACCCTGATTGTTTTCATGGAGTAGGGAGGCTAAGTAAAGCATGGGGAGAGGGGAAAGCATCCAATCACAGGTGAGTGTCCTGTGACTACTGTAACATAAGAGATTTTCTTATGCAGCAAACGTAGATGATTTAAAAATAAAAATGTTCCAGAGGTGATATGACAGTTGCTATTTATAGTACCACAGCTCTTCACTTATTGATTTTTAGGCACTGTTTTAAGTGCTTTACATTTACTTTTATGTACTCAAACTTTTAAAAATTACTTTTTATCTATTTTTAATATGGTTTTAAATTCTTTTCAGAAAGTAGTACATAAAGAAATTGATTTGAAAAAATGTATTTAACTGTCCTGAAAGAAGTTTCAGCAAAAAAGAAAGTTCCATTTTCATATCAATTCGTATTTGAGGTTTGTTTATTCTCTTGGTAAGGGTAACTTTTTCTTTTGGGGAGTACTGATGTTGGTTTACTGTGACTATGGTAGCTGAGAGGTAAATCTGAGGCTAGGAACATAAGCTTAAGTTGAATTCACAGATACAGACTGTATATACAGTGATTATATACAATAATCACTTCCTATATGAACACTTAAATATTCACAGCTAACTAATAATTCTAAAACCTATCAGTTTCCAAAAATATATAAATATTCTTCACCAATTTATCATCAGAATTAATAATTAACTAAAGAGATAATACCAACTATTAGGTATTCCAAGCATTAACCCTTTAGAAAGCTATTAAATATAAACTTTGGGAAGCATTTGTCAAAAAAAAAATCTCATCGACATTTTCAAACTTAAAGGGAATCATTTATTCATTCTCTAACTATCTCTGAGGACAGCCCCAAATGGAGTTTTTCAGATGACTCAATTCAAATCATTAAGGTAGGACTGAGATAAGAATTACCTATACATTCAAAATCAACCAAGTTTAAAAACAAAACAGGGGGGCTATACATTTTTGTTCCTAACATTTTTCACAATTCGTTCCTAAGAAATTAGAAAAATACACATGGACATAAGATCCACACATAAAGGAGTTCTTAGGCCAGTGGTGCTACAACTACACTTCTTATGATAGATAAGTGAAAACTACGAACAGAGGGACTGGAGCTGCCCATTAAAGCCTATAGTTTCTTTAAAATCTCATGTTTCATTTAAAAAACATATATGTGTATCTTGTATTCTCTTCAATTACAATTTGTTTTAAGTTTGAAAAGTTTTAAGTAACTAATTATGAATTAGATGCTCTTTATTTTTTCCTTTTCAGTATCTCGAATATACTACTTCAACTCTCCAAGGGTACAAGTACTCAGCTTGAGAAGCTCAGCCTTAGGTCAGTTTGATTACGGTGAAGGTAGATATTTACAGTCAAATTGACAAAGATTAATCTTACTGCCACCCCATGGGAAGAATATTAGACGTGGCAGAGTTGTAAAACCAAGAATTCCGTAGTATAAATCTTCCTTTTCAATTGTACTTGCTAGTTTATTTATACACTTCACATACAATGAATAAAGTATTTTGCTGGAGTAAAGAGATTCAATTGTTTTTAAAAATAATAATGAACAAACTTACCAATATTTTCTTCAGACAGTCTTAAAATCTCCTGGAACTGAGGTTTTACCTAAGCAACCCAAAGAAAAGATCCAGAAAGTCTCAAGTTCAACGGACCAATCAATGGTTAAATAAATAAAATGTTTACTACCACTACTTATTTATTTATTTTGTTTTATAGACCGTTGATTCAAGTAGTCAAAAACATAACAATTCTTAAGAGCCATAGGAAAAAAGAAGAGTTAAGTTACTGAAAACAACACCTTTTAGAGATAAAATATTTAAAAGAATCAATTCAGGTCAGCAAGTTTTCTGAAGGGTCTTTAGTTTCCTTCACTAAATTAAAATAATTTCCAAGGTGATTTTAAGTGCTTGAAATTACTACCTCCTAAAACTGACCTTGATGTTAGAAAGGGTATTTAGGCAGATATTATATGATTAGAATTATTGAAAAAATTTGCTGTATATAAAAGGAATGAAAATGAAATTCCATTCATTTAGGGTATTCAATAAGTAACATATTCATCATGTGATATCCATTGGCTTAGGTTAGTCTTTAACTTCTTTAAAATTTAACTTTAAACATCAAGTACAGAACTTAACATTAAAATTTTAAGTTAAAGCAAATGCTTGTTTCAATTTTTTATTTTTAACATTATTGGATTTCAGATTTCAGGCCACTGAAGTCAACCACTTACTGTTAAGTGCTAAAATGAACTCCTAATTGTTTTTGTAAAAAAAGTAAAATAAATAACAGCTACTTCTTTTGGAGATGTCAAACAAATTGTGCCAAGCGTGATTACCAGTAAAATCAAATCATATTTGTTTAATAATTACATGTTAGTGAAAAATGTAAAATGATTTTGTTTCTTCTACAGTAACATCAAGCTCTGGTTTTTGTCCTCCTATTGACAGGTCAGGCATATTAATTTACAAATTCAATTTAAACTGAGATGTAGACCACTGTGAAAAGATTAATCTACAGAATCAGACTTATAGAATTAAATGACACTGAAGGAACTTCTTCATTTCACACATGGAAAGATTAAGCACAGATACATTAAATGATTTATCACAGGATACAAACATAACAGGGTCATAACCCATTTTCCGAATTCCGTCCAGTCCACTATACCAAACTGTCATGCTCTAAATGTTTCAGTAACTACAGGTTTAATAGTAAAGAGCTACACAAAATTTTTACCTTTTAAATGTCTTGATTAACATTTGATTGTAGCAATGACATCTTTTTATGTTTTTATTAGAGCTCTAAAGAACTGACTTAACAATATGCTATGAAGACAAATGGATTAACAGGATTGAAGAAGAAAGTGGGACCTAAGGACATTCCAATTTAATATCTAAAACTACAGAATAGCCTAGATAGGCAAATGTGACAGTGATTGAAATATGTAGCATTTATCTCAAGTGTCCATTCTATTCTAAGAGCTTGTATCTTGTAGCAAGTATTCTATACAAGCTGCTTTGATTCTATAATCACCTAAAGTTTTGACCAAAGCATGCTGGGCAAATGGCTGCTTCCTGAATCTGTGGTAGATGGTGAAGTACCAGAAGTACATTCAAAGAATCACAGCTGAGTTCCCTAGCTGATACTTCCTATGCTAGAAAGCTTTGAGATATCCACATGAGTAGATCTTATAACCAAATCTGGATACAAACTAAGTTTTGGCTAAATCATCTTCTGAAAATCAATAAAGAGAAGAATATTACTGACTAGAATTTTCTTTTACTATCACAGTTTTCTAAGGTATTAAAAGATAATTTGAATAAAGGAAGGGCTCACGCTTTTATTTACTCTGCTATAGCATTAATTAACACATTACATTTCTATGTCTCTTGCATATAAGAAAACATGGAATACAAGTTTTTACCTTAGTGTTTGTAAAAATTTTGCCAAATGTCCGGCAAAGGCGCCAGAAAAATCTGGAGAATTCATGGACACAGGTAGTTGAAGTAACATTAATTTTGCCAACTATTTCTATAAGCTGTGGCAACCTGAATATGAAAGGAAAGAAAAATAGGCAGGGGTACAAATAAATTATTGTTTCCTTGCCAATTTCTGAAACAATGCAAATCTAACAATATCTTCTGTTCTGCTTTTCATAGCTGGTAAAATTGGAATGCAAAGGAGTTGTTTGGAACCCTTTGCAAAGTCTTCAGTTTATATTCTATAAATTTCTTAAAATAAATTTTAACTGATTGCCATAAAATATATGGAATCTTAATGGTAGGGTTCTAAGTATGGAGTTAATGAGACTCAAATCAATGGAGCTGATATTTCATACAAGAGCTTGGCTAACATGGCATTATCCACTTTAGCCTCAAAAATGAAAAGTCTGGATGTAGTTTAAAATCCATCACCACTTGTAGACAATAAGGCAGCAGATAGGTCTTCTGACATAATACAGCAGCACCATCTTCATAGATAAATAACTACGTATCTAGTAGTATAAATCTCCTCTCCTAAAGAAATTTACCATAGATGATGCCAAGTTATGTTTTGCTATTTTTTTTAAATATTTTATTATATTTTGTCCCTCAGTGCCCAGGCTAAATATAGTGAGCTACCTTTCATTCAACTGATTGAGATGTACCAAATGAATACGGAGATGGTAACTTACAATTGATTGACAACCCATAGTAAACTTTCCCAGCCTGTTGTACCCTCGTGTTCCAGCTGGTAATCATAAAGTTGTAGCAGTACTGCCAATTGCTCACGACTTCCAATAATAGTAGACACATCTTGAAGAGGCGACATAGGCCGAGGGAACCTAGTCACTATAAAAATTAGAAGCAAAATAAATCACATAGAAAATGACAGTTTGGAAAGTTAGCTATTCTGTCAAAAGAAAAGTAAGGTTCTGCCTCCTAATATTTATTTAGCTTATTATAGACTTTAAATATAAAACTAAAATATATTAATTAAACCATTTTTAGAAAAAAATGAAATACAGTTGATCCCTGTACAATCAGGGGTTAATCTGCCTACAACTTACAGTCGGCCCTCTGTATCAGAGGTTCTTCCACATCCACAAATTCAACCAACCACAGACCATGTAGTACTATAGCATTAACTATTGAAAAGTATTCACATATAAGTGGACGTGTACAGTTCAAACTCCTGTTGTTTAAGGATCAACTGTAAATTTTTGTCATATGTGAACAAATTTAGCAAATCTCAAAAATTAGGATTTTATGAGACTAAATAACTAGTAAATGAATATTGTAATGAAAGAGCTTGCCAGTGAAGAGTAAAATTTCACTTAAATTAAAATTGGCCACAAAATAAGATCTCAGCTAAAATATGGATTTGAATCTGGTTTTAAAAAAATAGAAATACTTGTAATTCCACCAGACTGTTTATGTCAAAAACTAATAACTATGATAAAATATTTCCTTCAGGCAGCAAGAAACTAATAGGTTGACAGCAGGGAAAAACTGTTTAATACCAGAGAATAATGACCTAAAATACATTAAAACTTGAGCTGAACAGGCTTCTTAAGTATTTAATCTCCAATATTAAATGATTTATTTAAAAAATGTTCCATAGTTTGATAAACATTAAGTTACTATAAAGTGTTAAAACCAGTGACCAGTAAGATAAAGCAAAATTATCATTAAAAAATGTATTATAAATATTATAACCAGAGTCTCATGTATATACTTTAAAAGTTTTGGGGGAAAAACTGAAAAAATTACTTTTAAAATTATGTAAATAAAACATGAATATACACTAGTATACTGTAAAATTTGAACACATCAATAAAATCTATGATTCTACAGATCATAATTAGATTCCAGGTTATTAAAGAACAGGTCTTAGATGGCTGTTAAGTGAGTAATGCTACCAACAGCTCATTAACTGTTGAACAGAAATTCCTAATGGCCTAGCAACTCCTGCATAGAGGTTAACACCCTAAAAAGACACAATTAAGGATGCAGCATTTTCTCAAAACATATTAATGGTGTAATGATAATTATTAAACTTAAGAAAACATGAAATAACTTTAAAAGTGCTCAAAGACAAAATTAAGATGGTATTGTCCTCCTATGCTGCCCAAGGCTTTTAACAATATCTTAAGTACAGATAAAGGTTATCCCTTGCTAGCTGAAGTCACCTATTTGATATCATAATACACACACAAACAAACAAATAAATGAATTTAGGTAACATGGTATCCCATACTATCTGAGGTTTCTGCTTGAGTTGTCATTATCTCAACCTAGGAATCAAATAGATTTGGATGGTGAGGGATATCTGTACTTCATACTTCTATATTGTTGAAGCATATCTGATAATTTCAAAAAGGATTATATCATATTGGTCACAATCTGCGATACTATGATGGAATGTATCAATATATTATTCCTTCAAAAATACTGACAAATTATTGAATAATAGTGGAACAGTTAAAAGTAAATCAGATAATGTCAAGATTTATTACAGGCAAAGTGAGGTCCAAAGATTTAAAGCTAGGTCCAACAGAAGCAAAACAATGTCAAGAAATAAGCAATTACTTGGATAACTCAGTTCTAACAGATAAGCAATCAGAATGGTTCAGGGATCTCAAAACATTATTCTATTTAAAAAGATTTTAAAAAATTTAAGCATCTAACTTGTAACCATACAGAAGAGTCCCCAGAATGCCATTTTAATAGGTATTTTATTGTCAAAAAATTACCACAATTATTCAAATCCAGCAAAATAACAACTGTTATGACTCTTCAATGTATTTCCCTCTCACTAGAATGTAAGCTCTTCATGGCAGAGATATTTGTCTGTTTTGTTTATGAGTGTATCCCAAGTGTTTAAAATAGTGCCTGACATAAATATTAGCTAGTGCTCTGGAATTTTCATAATGTAAAAGAAAACTATTAAATCTTCACTTGTAATAAACTGTATCCCAAATTATACAGATGTACATACAGATAGACACAGAGACATAGATATATAGATAGACTATATATATAGATAGATCTCTCTCTATATATAGATATATAAGGATATAATATTTCCTCATTTATAATAAATGTATTATAACCTACATGTGAGAATAATAACATTAACATTTACAGTTACTATTAAAAGTCAGAGGGTCAAATTAAGTCAATAAGAACTTAAAAGATTATTTTTGGCATGATAAAGACATAATCACAAGGAAAGGTCACATAAACTTCAGAAGGAATATGTTCAGGATGGTAAAGTAGTTTTAAAAATTTTCTATCTAATCTCTAACATGTGCTTGGCACGCAATAGGTGACATTTAAGAATTATTTGCTAAATGAATGAATGATAGCAAGTGCTGTGGGTTGAACTGTGTCTCCCTTAAAAATTTATATGTTGAAGTCCGAACCCCTAGAACCTCAGAATGTGACCTTATTTGGAAATATTGTTGTTGCAGATATAATTAGATAAGATGAAGTCATACTGGAATAGCGTGGACTTCTAATGCAATATAACTGATCTTATAAAAGGGAAATTTGGACCGAGACAAGTGCATGTGTGTGCACACACACACACGGAGAACGGAATGTGAAGGTGAAGGCAGAGACTGGGGTGATGTACCTACAAGCCAAAGAACACCAGAGATTGCCAGCAAACCACCAGAAGCGAGGAGAGAGGCATCAAACAGCTTTTCCCTCACAGCCTTCAGAAGGAACCAACCCTACTGACACCTTGATCTCAGACTTCGAGAGAGTTCACTTCAGAACTGTTAAACAATAAATATCTGCTGTTAAAGTACTAAGTTTATGGTACTTCGTTATGCTGGCCCCAGCAGAACAATACAGCAAGATAGAAAGAAAAAGAGAGGGAATTAGAAAGACAGGAAAGTCCCTAGGCAGATGAAGTGTCTTAATGAGTGAAGGGGTAGAACCTAAAGTAGCCAGCTGTGAGCGCTTTATGAAGATTTATCTTAAAAGTTTGAATTTTCATTCTCCTCAATATCATTAAAAAATATTAAACTAACTCTACCCCATCCATTCTCAATTTTCGAAGTAAAACTGGCATTCTAACAGTATACACCACTTTTATGCTGTGCTTTGTGTATTCTTGGACACACTGCTTCATATCCCAAAGATTATAGGTAGCCCTGTTTACTTTACATGAAAACTATAATTCTAAAAACACTGTGTGTTGATTTTCTCAATGTTATAATTCTTTTGTCTATCAGAAGCCCGTAAGAGACACGGCTAATTCACAAATCTGAAAAAGCTGCAAAGGAATCTCATACATAGTAATAACTTGTCTGTAGCCGTTTATCCTGGGGGTTAGGTGCAGTGGGGCTACCACGTACCATGGATCAAAGGTCACTTACTAGTTAGCTAGACTTTGAGCTAAGAAAATACTGGCTCTTGCTATCAATTTCATGTATTTCTGAAAATAAATCATATTCTTTTTTTGGAAAAAAAAGAAACTGTGCTGCATATGCTTATATTCCTATCAAGGACATAGCAGGAAAGAGTAATTACATTTACCTTCCCCTACTGAAAATAAGATGAAATAGCTGGGGAAGAAAAAATATAAAGAAAGTGGAAATGAAAAGCTTCATAAACTGGTCCTGGTAACTATTAATTCAGCTCTATTAATGAAAGAAAACGCTTATTTCTGTCTTATAACACTGAAAAAAAGGCTATAATAAAAGGCTCTAGATTAAGAATGGAAAGAAAGTACAAATATTATAAAATACTACCACGAGGCTTATCCATAAAAGATGAAGCCATATAGTTCACCCCAGATATCATACAATCTACGACCATGCAGTTCCACATGTATAATACATTTTAGTAATTATGCTGTCATATAAAGTGACTTTTACATTTTTAATCAGAAACGATTCTTTGGAAAGCTAAGCTGTTAATATTCTACATCTTCCTCCCATAATTTAAGTTCAGTACCTTCTATCTGTGGCACTTCACCATGAAGCTTGGCTTTGCTGGAGAAAGGTGCGTTCTGTAGCACTAATGCAAAGAGAGATGGGATCAAGGACTGCAAGGCAGACAGATACATGTGGAGCTTATGTTCATCCAGCCCGTGCTCTCCTTCCTGAAATATAAGGAGGTGAAAGCTAACTTTAGACTTCTGAAGTTATGTATTTATGATGTTCTTCCTTTCCGTGGCAAACAATAAGACATTTAAGGACATGTATGTTAGACTCAAAGCATCACACCTAATGGAGATGACCATGAATCTTTTCTGAATTTCTCTGAGTATGAGAAAATGTGAAGTACTAAGGCATTGTGGAAGTAATAGAATCTTTTGTATGGAAAACTTTAGGGTGAACATCAGTCATTTCATTTGTATGGAACTTCTTTTAAAGGTCTTTTTCTTTTAAGAGGGTCTTATCTTTTGACATTTTATAAGTCAGGTTAAAGAAATTAAAGTGAGCCACAGGAATCATTTTAAACGCTCAACTGCTAAACGAGCAGGAGTACTTGCTATTCCTAACTTCTTTTATAGATTTGGTGACAACTGTATTTGCCAGCATTGGAAGCACTTTAAAATAATTCAATGTATAGATAAAATGTAGGAGAAGAAATGTCAAAAGAAAACAAAAGAAAGAGATAACAGAAAAAAAAAAGAGTAAAAGGATCACTATGGTACACAGAAACCAAATATTAAAGTGAAAAACAGAATCATTAGAGAGGAAAGCATTTATTGCTGTTCAAATCCACTTGAGATGTCATTACTATATTATAAATAACAACTGTGTCAGAAATATCAGATATGTTAGTTTTTTACTATCAAGTTCTAAATTAGTTAATTTCTTCATGTAAGAATTACCTTGTGTGCTGAATACTGCAGCTATGTTTAGCAACAATGTGGAATTAGCTGTGTTATGAAATCGAACTAAAAAAAAAAAAACAGGTACAGGGCTTCCCTGGTGGTGCAGTGGTTAAGAATCTGCCTGCCAGTGCAGGAGAAGCGGGTTTGAGCCCTGGTTCGGGAAGATTCCCACATGCCGCGGAGCAACTAAGCCTGTGTGCCACAACTACAGAGCCTGTGCTCTAAAGCCCGCAAGGCACAACTACTGAGCCGGCGTGCTGCAACTACTGAAGCCCGCACGCCTAGAGCCTGTGCCCCGTAACGAGAGAAGCCACCACAATGAGAAGCCTACGCACTGCACGAAGAGTAGCCCTGGCTCGCTGCAACTAGAGAAAAGCTCGCGCGCAGCAAGGAAGACCCAATGCAGCCAAAAATAAATAAATAAAATTTTATAAAACCCCAAAAAACAAAAAAACCAGGTACGGATAATTCTCAGATAGAAGGAATGCAAATATTAAAAAAAAAATACTTAAAAAAATTCCCTAGGTTTCATAAAAAGGAGTACTTCAGTATAGTCTATTTATAGTTTTCTTAACACCCATTTTGAAATTTATAGAAAAAATAGCCCAATTTTTAAATTAAATGAATACACGTGTATACATATAAGACTACAGAGTAGTTAAAATACATTATGTTAAGAGCCTTTAAAATCTGGGGGTAAAAAGGGCAAGAGTTTGGTTTTAGAGACTGATATCAGATCCTGGTTCTGTCATTTGACAGCTTTGGGACCCTGAGCAAATTACTTTAACACTCAGTTTCCACACAAAAAACAAAATATAATTCAAATGGTTATAAGAATGAAATAACATACTTTATAAAGTATCTACCTTAATGGTACATAATCAATACGCATTAAAGAAATGTTTTTCTTCTAGACTTTAAAAGAGACTTTTAATACAAAAATTAGAACAAGAAGTTTCTATTGTTTCTTCAACTTTTCTTCAATTCTTTTACTTGGGAAGAATGGAAAGTTCCCTTTAAAAAGTCAGGACGTGAACTACTGCAGTGAAAAAAAGGTAACGCATTTTGACACTGTATAAATAAGAAAACTTTAGAGACTCATATTTTAGTTATCTCTGCATTCTGGGAACTGATGCTGACACTTTATCTAAAATATTTAAGTCTTCAGAAGAGGCTAGGAAGAGGTAGCACTGTGAATAGTATACGAGTTAGTGCCACAAAGGTGCTATTTTAGCTAAAAAAAGGCAGACCATGCTCTTTCTCCTCTAGCTTCAGTCAAGCAAAACTTCCTCAAATCTTCCTTGGCTCCAGACCAACAGAGTCTTTAACAGGTAGTTAATTAGAATGTTCGCTAAGTGGTACTTTCTGTCTTTGTTCCCCCAACATTCTCTCAAGATGCCTTAGAACACACCTTTTAAATTTCTATTAACTATATAAATAAAGGAAGTATTTACCCTGAGAAGTTTTTCAATCTTGTTCAGCAATGTAGGTATAAGATGAGACTGTAAATTTCCAAGTTCTGTAGTCCAGGCAGCATAAGCTGGTAAAAATACTTGATGTGTTGCACTAACTACTCTTTCTGAGGGGTCACCCAAGGCTGACAGCAACAGTTCAAAACCCTGCCAAAAGGAAATAGGCAAAATGTAGATTAAAAAAAAAAAAACCTAAAAAACATAATAATATGTAATAAATATACACTGCAGTACATGTAGCAGACATTTTAAGCAAGAAAGAAAACCATTCATAATCCTATCCTTCCCAATTTCTTTAAAGAAAAATGTCATTTATCCGTTGATGGGAAAACCAAAGAGAAAGGGTGGTAACATGGCATGCTTGTTGCCAATTTACCGCCAGAAAGCTGTGTCAGATACTATAAATGAATCAAAGCATCTCCTCCTTGAAATAGCAGAACTGAAACCAGGCAGCCAACTTCAACTGGTTAAAGTTGACACGTCTGCCATCCCTACTATAGATTATAGGATATCTGAATCAGAGATCTGGAATATTATACTATTTGGAATTTTATAATGAAATAAATGGGATTCGTTCTGAAAAACATACCTGTTGATATTTGTCTGGATCATCAATGTATCCCATAATGATACCGAGGCTTTTGATCACAGCTTCTCTTACCAAATCTGCCTTATCTTCCATTAACATCTGTTGCAACATTGAAAGAACCAAGGAGCTACGGATTTCTTTCTGAAAATAAACAGGAACATGTTTTACTATTTATTTACACTAGCAGCAGAAAAGGATAGAAAATAATGAGATATCCATGTATTCAAAATCTAGATTAAATATATATTAACATGTTGCTATGTTTGCTTCAAGTCCTCATTTTTGAAAGACATAAGACATTAGAGATACAGCTGAAATATCACTCTTCTCCACCCTCTCCCCCTTCCTCCAACTCCCTCTCTAAAGATAACATCTACCCTGAACTTGGTATTAATCATCTCCCAGCATATTTTTGTATTTTTACTAAATATGTGTCAATCCCTCAAACCTTTACAGTGCCCTTTTGGCCAATCAACAGTCAACACTCTGCTATAAACAGACAATGACTCTTCTACCACTACCTGTACAACTCAGATAAGAGCACTGACAGTCATAACAATAGGAGGGATTACAAAAATCACTCTGGTAAGCAAAACATTTGCCTGGGGTAGGAGTGTGGAAACATAAAATCCTGGTGTTCTGTTTTCTGAAGAACTGAGAAAAAATATTAAAACAGGATGATGAAACATGAGAGTAAACTTTAAAAGTGCTTAAAAAACTGTGTTGATATTTTCAGATGCTATTCAATATAATGTCAACCACTGTTGTGTCTTAATTTCACACAATTTTTTCCCCATGGTTTTAGCCTAATTAATGTCTGAGGTTAGAATAAAGTGTTATTGTTATACAAATTCTTGCCCTTCCTTCTCTTTTTTTGTACCATTATTGTAAGTTGACAAATTTATAAAATTCTTTAAACTTGTTTAAGTTACTTTTACATATAATAGTTAAAATAAAAGGATATGATCATTTTCATAAATTTACAGTGTGATCTGGTATGCAAAGCAAAGTCTTAAAAGACATTTTTAAATGACCTAGCTTTTGTTTTGACTTTTAGAGACAAAAATATATGTAAGTTTAGCAAATTTTGGTTACATTTAGGTCGGTGAATATGCCTTTTGGTACAGCCTTGTTTATTTATCCTTTAGGCTAAAATTGCTCCCCCCAATTTTTTTTAAAGTGTATTAAAAGGGCTTTTTGGTTAATATCAGCACAGGCAAAAGGACAGAGGTGAGTAAACTTCAGCTGGGTATTTGCTTTGCAATGATCTAGCCTGAGGTCAACTGTGGCAGTTAGTTTCAGTATGCTAAGGGAACCCACAGGACAAGTCAGGATGCTTTACTCCATTTAAGCCATGACCACACTGAGGTTTTACTGTTACCAGTTACAGTGGGGAACAAGAAAGGAGGTCCATGTAGGAAACATTAAGTCCATTATTAATACTGCTTAGCATTCTAGTACTAGGAGCAGTGTGGAACAGTTTCCTTCTTCTTTGATAGCATGTGATGTTCATCTCTGTCTTGGAACAATAAATAATAGGATGCTCAAACTCACTCATGTATCACAACAATAAGATAATTTTCTCTTAAAAGATAGGCAAACATTAAAAATAAAGTGATTATGCCCAGTTGAAGTATGGTAAGATAAGAACTCCAACGCACTGTTGACAGGAGTACAATCTGTGCTATCTTGGTTGGGGGCAATTTAACACTGTCAAAATTAAAAATGCAAATGTTAAAAGCAGCAAGAAACACAGGTATTAATGGTTTGTGAAATTTAAAAATGAAGATTCCCTTGTGTACATTTTTAAATTTCACATACTGTTAATATCTCTGTATTTTGCTTCTTTTAACACACAGAGTAATTAATTCTGGGTAAGAAAAATTTAAAGGATGTAAAAATGCAAGCTGGTAATATGCATAAATTTTTATTCTCTGTAAGTATTAATTAAAAATCATTACCCAAAGATGTAATCTTTGGGGATAATGACTAGGGTCAGGGAAGTCTTTGACTTTCATTTTATTCTTTTCTATACTGCATGAAAATTTATTTTTAACAAAATAAAAAAAATGTTACTGGGAGTGAGACTATGAATTATTCTTTATATTCTTCTGAATAAAAAACCAAAATTTTTATTTATTTTTAAAATTTATTTTATTTATTATTTTTGGCTGTGTTGGGTCTTCGTTACGGTGCGTGGGCTTCTCATTGTGGTGGCTTCTCCTGTTGTGGGCCACAGGCTCTAGACGTGTGGGCTTCAGTAGTTGCAGCACATGGGCTCAGTAGTTGTGGCTCGCGGGCTCCAGAGCACAGGCTCGGTAGTTGTGGCACATGGGCTTTGTTGCTCCGCGGCATGTGGGATCTTCCTGGACCAGGGATCGAACCCGTGTCCCCTGCATTGGCAGGTGGATTCTCAACCACTGGGCCACCAGGGAAGCCCCAAAATTTTACTTTTTAAAAAGACAATTGACTATTGGTTTCTCACTCTTCACCAAAGATTATGAGGTAACAGTAAATGCAACATAAACAGCTCCTGTATTATACAATTCCAATTTTTGTACCCCTTTAAAAGAACAATCTTACAGAAAGGACCCTTTAAGGCAGGGGTCAGCAAACTTTCTGTAATGGGCCAGATGGTATATACTCTTGGCTTTGGGGCCAAAAAGTCTCTGTTGCAGCTATTCAGCTCTGCTGTTGCAGTGTGATAGCGGACACAGACAATACACAACAAATGGGTGTGCTTGTGTACCAATAAAAGTTTATTTATAAAAACAGGCTGTGGACTAGATTTGGTTCCAGGCTGTATTTTGTCAAGTTCTGCTTTAAACTATCGTTGTTTAAATTAAAATAATTTTTGATGTCACCTCATTTCTCTACCCCTTCTAAGCCCTTGACCTATGGGAAGATACCTAAAAGGGGCACAACAGTGCAGTGGTCCTCAATCTTTTGGTGGCAGGATTCCTTTAGTCATTTAAAAATTAATGAGCACCTCAAACAGCTTTTGTTTGGGTGGGTAATATCTATTGACATTTATCATATCAGAAATAAAATAAGAGAAATTAAAAATGATTAATCATTAAAAACAATAAACTCATTAAAGGTTAACATGAATAATGAAATTATAATTTTAATGAAAATAATCAAAAAATTAGTGAGAAGAATGGTGTTGTTTTATATTTTGTGCAAATCTCATTGATGTCTGACTTAAAAGAAGATAGATCCTCTTAACTGCTCAGCATTCAACTGTGTTATACTGTTTTGGTTGAAGTATTTGAGAAAATCTGGCCTCACACAGACATATAATTGAAAAAGCGAGAGGTATTTTCATAGCCTCTTCTGATGAGAATAGAAGCTGTCAAGCTCACAGTGGTGAATACAAGTTTTCCAAAATTCTTGTTCTCACTTATAAGTTCCAGTTTTATCACTGGCAATGAATGCTGTCTACTGGTTTTCCTTGAAATGATAGGTTCCATTTCATTCATTTTCATGAAAATGTCTGTCAAAATCCCAAGTTTGAATAACCACAGCTTTTTTTAGTGGTCTGTCAACTAAAACTGGTTTAGCTTACAACTCGAGTGCTTTTCCTGAAAAGCCATCATAGTTCAGAATGCAGCAAAAGGGCTTGATATGAGTATCTTCCATTTTATTACACAGAATATTAAAATGATGCATACTTAGGGTCAAAATTTAGTAGAATTAATAATTTTACTGATTCACTAAGCTTATTTTTAAGTGAAACTGACTTTTTCTGCGAGTGCATGGCAGTGAAGAATACAATCATTATCTGTCTATTTGGGTGTCACTGCCTTGATCAGTGCTAATGCACTGGCATTGTTGCCCATTACAGCTTTTGCACTAACAGTGTAAATGTCAACACAGAGAAAAAGTCAAAAAATGTTTCAATATTCTCATGAAAATAATTTTCATCTCATGGGACCCCCAGGGTCCTCAGACCACACTTTGAGAATTGCTGATGAGGTTTAATATATTTATACTCATGCAAAATCAATGGTTAATGTACCTATCTGTCTGCAGTGCCATATGGTGTCAATGTGAGCCTTCTCTTTTTGGCTCATCTTTTTCCTTTGTTAGGACAGAATTTGGATTCAACTGTATAATTAGACACCTGAAAAAAAGGTTTCTCTATTGTTACAAAAGGAAGAAAAAGGTTTTTAAGAAAAAATTACAATTCTTACAGGAAGGTAAGGTGCCAGTGCTCCACAAGATTCCGCCACAAGCAATCTTCTTTCTGGGTATTTGTGATTAATCTAGAGTAAAAAATAAATAAATCAAGCATAAACAACATACCCTCCCTTTCTCCAATAGAGAATTATTTTTCACCATAAATCCTGTTAGGAATGCAATAAAGCTTCTTTCTTTTCCACTTCGGGGATCCCTATACCTGGATCAGGATTAAGGGAATCAGGGAGAGCCTAAAAAATGAGGTCAGAGGGGTTACCTGTTAAAGAGAAAGAAGATAAAGCAAAGATGAAAATATGGCAAGGTGTCTAGAGATTGTGGGCTTGCCCAAGACTAAGCTTTCCTTAGGATGTCAGGAGCAACCTTCTCCTTCTCTAGCAGCATTAGTATATTTTTAAATTTGGAAAACCCAGCTTCTAGATATTTACTGATACAGTCTACAATATGTGCCAGGAATGATTCCTCAGTCCTCTTTTTTTACCTCAGGGATTAGGACGTAAATTAATCGATGATTTAACCAGAGCCCTTGACCGGTGTTATGATTTTGTTTTTAAAGTAAGCAGATGTCAATTCATTCCTGTTTGCATATGCAAGATGATGGGGTTTTGCTATATTGTAATGACTACACTGAACCATAACAAAAAATAACAAAAACAAAAAAAATGACACATACTGGGTTTTGTTCCCATATGTCTTCTTCATAGAATATAAATCTTTCTTTGACTGGAAAAGAAGTGTATCTGTTCTCATATTCCCATATGAAAAGGTGACATAATTCATTAATGTATTGGATGCCTAAAATTAAGAAAAGAAATTATGTAGCAATCTATTGGGCAACAAACTGGAGGTAGGCGGCTAGATAGATCACCAATAACCATGTTTATTCAGGTTACAGAAGAGGTGGTGGTAGAGACGTTGGTAACTGACATCTCTGAATAAAATTTAATCCAGAAATAGTAACCTCAAAACAAAATGGTTTCAATGTCATAGTATGCAATATGTAAACTTCGATTTTACTTTCCTTTAGTCTAGCAAAATGAGTCTCAAAATTAAATGTACACACAACAATCAACTGTATTCCTATATATTGGCGATAAACAAAGAGAAAATTAAAAAAATTCTATTTACAATAGTATTAAAAAGAATAAAATACTCAGGAATAAATTTTAAAAGTGCATAAGTGATATTCTGAAAACTATAAAACATTACTGAAAGAAATTTTAAAAGACCTAAATAAACGGAAAGACATCCTAAAATTCATGGATTGAAAGGCTATTAGGATGGCAACATTCTCCAAATTGATCTACAGATTCAACACAATCCCTATAAAATTTCAGCTGGCTTCTTTGCAGAAACTGACAGGTTGATCTTAAAATTCATACAGAAATTCAAGGGACCCAGAATACCTAAAACAATCTTGAAGTACAAGAACCAATTCAAGGGGTTGGGGTTTCTTTGGGGGGTGATAAAATTCTTCTAAAATTGACTGTGGTGATGGTTGTGTAGCTCTGTGACTACAAAAACCACTGAATTGTACAGTTTAAATAGATGAATTGTATGCTCTCTGAATTACATCTCAATAAAAGTTAAAAGAAGAAAATGGAAAAAACTATTTTAAAATTGCATATACATATGTATAACTGTACGGAATTGTAAATTCAAAGTTGTATATGTTGTTTCCAAGTTAATTTGACTTTTCAGTGGTTACAGCCTAACCCTAAATTAGTATGCACTATAATCTCTAGATGACATATGGATTGTCAGAGATAATATGGATATATATAATGTTCCCTTTTAAATAATGAATCTAGATATGACTCCACTAAATTCTAAAGAAAAAAATGAATACTCAAAGAAAATGGGAACAGAATTCTAAAAGACCATAAACTTTAGCGATATTCCAGAGGCTAATAATTTTTCTTAAGAATAAGTGACAAAGCTAGTATAAATAAGGCCATGCAATTTGTCTTCATAAGTAAGAAATCCATCTTTTTAAGATGGAAGAATAAGTTACTTAATGACCTAAATATGGAATCTAGAAAGTCAAAGATTCTGAGTTCTAGCGAGGACTGGAATATTACAATTCAACATAAAACCAGAAGTATTCTTAGTAAATAGTGAGTTGAAATATAAATATATATAAACCTCCTACATCAAAGGTTTACACTTTATATTCTGTATATACTTGTAATATATACAAGTATACAATATATACAGATACGATTTCTATTATCTACCTACCTACCTACATATACACACAGCCTCTTGCTTTCCCTTGAACTCATTAGTTTGTATATTTTTCATATTTTGTATCTCACTTGATTCAGATCCTTGAACTCAGGAATTTTTGTATTTTGTCTCATTGGATTCAGATTCTTGTCTAAACATCCCTTTCTCAGAGATCCCTTCTCTGACCACCCTTTCTAAAACAGTACTCCCTATCACTCTCTAACCCTTAGCCTACCTTTTTTTTTCTTCATAGTTTATAAATTACAAGACATCATTTCATTTATTTGTTTACTCTTACCTCTCCACTAGGATGTCATTGTCTTTTATTCACCACTGTATCCCTAGTGACTACAACAGTACCTGGCAGTGGAAATAGTGTTAAGTATTTGTTGGAAGAACGAATAAAGCAAAGCATCCCAGAGCTTTCTTAAGGACTATTAAATCACTGTGCTGGGTTATAGAAACAGTAGCATAATTTATATCCCTCATATTTCCTAATAGCATTTTTAAAAGATAATATGAACATTTATAATAAATTAGAATACAATAGCTAGGGAAAACCCAGTACAGTTATTTACCTGTTCCCAACACTGTGGTAAAAGTTCAGCTTCTACACGTGTTGGGCCAACATGACGTGCAAATGCCACACAACCTGTCAGTATCATTTGCCTGAAAGATAATACAGATGAATAAAGATTCGTATTTGCATAGAAAGCACAACTAGGACAAAGGGTTAAAAAGAGTCAGCTCTAATTAACATGAAGTACAATATTTTTGTACAATTTGTACAATATTTTTGTACAAATTCAACTTTTCACAATGGACGGGCTGCCACCATCCAGCAGTGGCAAAACCATTTGTGAGAGATGTTATGAAGGGATTCTCTACTGGTGTGAAGCTGAATCTCATAACCTCCTAAATTAACTTCCCACATATACATTCTGAGATTATAATATGTTTAAAGCTTCAGTTTCTAATGAATTTCAGTTTCTAGCTACTAAAACAATCAGTGATTATTTTCCCAGTATTTCTATAATTAAAAACTACGATGTCATATTAGTAAAATGATATTTCTTTTTTTATTTAAAAAAATTTAAAATTTTTATTGAAGTATAGCTGATTTAAACTTATTTATTTATTTATTTTTAGTTGCATTGGGTCTTTGTTGCTGCGCATGGGCTTTCTCTAGTTGCGGCGAGTGGGGGCTGCTCTTCGTTGTGGCGCGCAGGCTTCTCACTGCGGTGGCTTCTCTTATTGCGGAGCACGGGCTCTAGGTGCAGGGCTTCAGTAGTCATGGCTCCCGCACTCTAGAGCACAGGCTCAGTACTTGCGGTGCACGGGTTTAGTTGCTCCGTGGCATGTGGGATCTTCCCGGACCAGGGCTCCGACCCGTGTCCCCTGCATTGGCAGGTGGGTTCTTAACCACTGAGCCACCAGGGAAGCCCAAAATGATATTTCTTAAATGAGAATTTTTGGTATTGCACCCAAGATAACTGGTAGGCAGCTTCTGACGTGGCTCCTAATGAGGTCCATCTCCTGATATTCATGCCCTTGAGTAATCCCATCTCCTTGAGTGTAGACTGGACCCAATGATTTGCTTCTAATGAAAAGAATAATGGCCAAAGTGATGGTATGTCACTTAGGAGATCAGATTACAAAAGCCTGTGATATCAATCTTGTTAGACACTCTCTTCTGCCTTCTCAGCTGGCAGGCTTTGATGAAGACACTGCCATGTTGGACAGTTTCATGTGGCTAGAAACTAAAGGCAACTTCTGGCCAAAAGCCAGTGAGGAACCGAGGCCCCCAGTCCAAAGATCCATAAGAAGCTGAATCCTGTCAACAACAAAGCTTAGAAGCAAATCCTTCCCCCATGGACCTTGAGGTGGCTGTAGCCGCAGCCAACACCTTGACTACAGCTTTATAAGAGACCCTGAAGAAGAAGACCCAGATAAATTGACCCATATAAACTGTGTTATTTTAAACCACTTTCTTTTGGGGTAATTTGTTATGAAATAATATACAAATAACTAATGTGATAATTTCATTTGAATTGATAGATTTATAATTTAAATTTTTAAATAAGATTTTTCACTCTTCAGAATGAAGTTCCATTTAAAATGACTCTGAAAGGCAGAATTGCAAGTTTTTTTACTTTTGATTGACTATGACTTCGAAACAGTAAAACCTGATTAAAAAAAAAAAGTATGTTTTCCATAGATGTTTCAAAGTAGCCAACTTTAAGGAAAACCAAAATAGAATGTTTAATTCATACTAATTATAAAAGCCCAGGCATTACTCATTGCTATTTCTCAAAATACATCAATTTTTTTTTTTTTTAAATACATCAATTTAACTTAAACTGAATAATGACCTTACATTTCTATTTAGTTCAGCCAAGTTAGCTACAACTGTTCTCTCAGGCTGAGGAGAATAATAACAGACAAAAAGCATCTGGACAATGAGAAGGGAAATGTTGAGCCAATAGGTCTTCATTGTATATTGCAGCTTCTCCTCACCATAACCTTGTAATTTTTATCTATCTGATTTCCCTTTATATCATTGTCTTCTATGCCTGTTTCTCAACTTTTCTTTTGTTTTTCTATTTTCTCCTACTTTAGGAAGGCAAATAAAGTGAATAAAAGAAAAATAGAAAAAGAAATTCCCAAGCTTTAAGACAACATGTTAGCTGCCTGTTCCCACTGAAAATTTCCAAATGTCTGATCATTTTTACCCCCATAGTATATTAAAATAATGAGAAGTCATATATGTAGGTTCTAGAAAAATCTGATAATTATAGTAAATGAACTTTGGTGAAATTTAAGCATTTCAAACACACATAAGAAGTATATACTTATATAAGAGCTTCATGTAAAATGACTTTAAATAATGAGTCACCATCACTATACTAAAGATGTACAAACTTGTTCAAAAAATGTTAGTCCCCTCAAAACAAACTACTTAGTCAGCAGAGTTAAGATTCAAAATTCTAAAAAACAGGACAGTTTTGAAATACATTTGAAAACAGAAAAGATCAGACGGTCTACAGGTTATTAACAGCACTGGAAACAGGCTCCTGTGATAGTAAAAATAAACACTGTTTTTACTTGTAGAAAATCATAGGATAGGAATTATTTGACACAGTTAGAAATATGGTGTTAGTTATGGCTGTTAGCATAGAACTGCCAAAATGCACTACTATCGCTCATAAAATTAAGTTTCTCTTAGGATGCAAGGAAGCTTGAGATTCATTAAGTAAAGTAACAACTGATTATATGTCAAACATATCATGCTAACTTAAAATTTTTGCTTTGTTAGTTATTCATATATATAGTTAATAAACTGATTAGTTTATTTTAATAAATAACTTTGTTTCTGTAAGGTGAAAGATTTAAGTGTGGAAATGAGTGTTTAAATCCTGACATATCTTGACCTGAAGTAAGGCTATAGGTACTTTTGGCCACCAGGCGGCAGCTGTTAGCTCTACATGCAGAGTCTATGAAAACAGGCTATGTAGAACTAGAGGTTGCCTTGCAAATCTAAAAATGACAATGTAATAAGTGGTATTTAATTGTTAACTAAGTTACCAAGATAGGGAATAGTATTTTTCAAGGAGAAAATAAAATATTAATTTTCCTATATAGCACCATCGAATTGTCCTTGGAAAATTTTCAGTTTGCAATGAATGGAACTTGATTGAATTTCCCTTATTTCCATTTGACTAGCATGTAGATTAATCTTGACTGGACCCTGGAAAAACATGTTTCTCTGCTTGCTCAGGTATATTTTGGTAAGGGTAGGAAAGAGATATATGCTTATAGAGTTTTAAAGTCTACATGACTTTTTATTCTCATAGTGGAGAGATTCCTTGTGTTTAAAATTTTGAGCTTCATTTGTCTTATGGTTCACTTTTATGATTTTCCAACATTCTCAGAAGAGGTAAAAACTGTAACAGTCAGTAAAACAAGTACTGAAATTATATAAAGTTACCTAATCATAATGTATAATTCTATTTTTTGCAAAAGTATAAGCAAAAATTATTTCTTTATTAAGATAGAAAATTACTATGTAGAAAAACATTTCAATAGCTCAATCTTATCCAACTGGTGCTTAGTCTACCTACCCATCCACCGAGATGTTTCGTTCACAGTCACACTTGCACAGCTTCACCTAGTATTTAAAGGTCTTACCTTCTGAGGCAGACCTCTATCACTGTTGCTTGATCAAAACGCATTCCCCTTTCTTCCAGAAAGTCTCTCGATGTGTGGCCCATCCCCCCACCACCATCAGGTATAACTCATTTCCCCGTTCAGGCATCCTTGATTGTGGGTATTTGACTCAGGACTAACCAAAACACTGTATCCCTTTAGCCACACAGAAACTGCTTTACAGATAGCTCAGTGATGCAGACATTCATATATTAAATATTTTATTTCTTGTAAAGCATAACCATGAAGAGGCCATGCTGTATCTAGTTCATCTGTGGGGAAAAGGGGAAATATTTAGCTCCTGGAAATCAAATGTGAAAGATAAAAGCAAAGAAATATTGGAATTAGAAATCCAAAGGTAACTAACACAAAAGTGTACAAATTCAACACGAGTAGTTGGAATGACAAGAATGAAAACACTGCAGGGCACTGTGAACAAGGTCAGTGTTTCCTCTGTTTATTAAAATAGATATTAGAAAGAAAAGATGGCATTTATATTAAAATGCTAATCATGATGCCAAATTAATAAGTCAACATTATATTTATTTACCAAAGAAGTGGTCATACCCACCTTTGCTCATCATCTGGTCTCTTGATCAAATTGAAAAGTATGTGGAGAAGCTGATCTCTCTCTTTAGGCTCAGGATGCAGGCAGGCTGTACACAATATGAGGGGGATCAACTCCTAAAGAAATATGAAGGTGGAAAAAGTCAAAGTAAAAATGCATTGCAGAATATTCTTTTTTTCCCCAATGTATTCTTAAATGGACATTTAAAATGAAATAAACCTCAGCGTATATAGGAGCAAATTTTAACTTTGTAAGGCTGATAATTCAAGAGAAAACACTGAAACATATATTTTTATGTTGGTTGTGCAGAAGATGCAGATCACAACGTAATAAAGTAACTTAAAATTCAAATAACCTTGTTTTCTTATCCAATACTTCCCAAGGGTCTATTAGTTTTTAAACTAAATAACATTCTATCTTACTATAAGCTGATATAGTAGTTTTAATTTTGTGGGTTTTTTGGGGTTTTTTTTTGTTTGTTTCTTTGCGGTACGCGGGCCTCTCACTGTTGTGGCCTCCCCCGTTGCGGAGCACAGGCTCCGGACGCGCAGGCCCAGCGGCCATGGCTCACGGGCCCAGCTGCTCTGTGGCATGTGGGATCTTCCTGGACCGGAGCAAGAACCCATGTCCCCTGCATCGGCAGGCGGACTCTCAACCACTGCACCACCAGGGAAGTCCAGTAGTTTTAATTTTGAAAGTGTTTTTAAACAAACACTTGCAGAAGTTAACTATACTTTAAAACTTAAAATGATAACAGAAAATAAAGACAACTCGTCCCACTTCCATAAGCACAATATAATCTTTCTTAAGATTAGATATAATTAATAATTTTGTAACCTTAGCACCTAACCTAGTGGCTAATTTTAAAGACCATTTCCACAGGTGTTGAATGCTCTCAGTACAACTACAAAATGTTAGTAGAAATGCTTTATGCTGAAATGAAAATTTTTAACAATATTTTGTTTGTTGCACTTTCAACATGCAGAGGTAAATTCAATATTTTCAAGGAAAGTAATAGACAAAAGTTTATTTCTCTCTTCCAAAGAATTATTTGAAAAATAAAGTTGTTTCCCATTTTAATTAAATTAAGACTAAATTCTAAAATATATTCAAAGGATATTAATGTTTTTCATTTTTGGAATAGATTTTCAAATCTAATGAAATAAAAGTCCAAAAGTGATAAAATATTTTTGGAGAGAAATCCTCTAACTTACTTTGCAGATATTTTAAAGAAATCACTATGATGTAATAAAAAGGGTAGAATGATTACTCCCATTTCTTTTTCCCATCTGCCTCCCTACCCACCAAAAAGTACTAGCAGATTTAAAATAGGAATTGATCACTGCATACTAATACATGGTACCTTGAAGAAAAGTCTACACTGTAGGAGAAGTATCTTCCTATTTTGAAGATGCTCCCTTAGAAACAGATGATACGCTTTTTAGAGGAGTTGAGACTGAAACTTAAAGGCGTGACTAGAAGTCCTTTCCATTATTTCTAACATCTTTATATATTACGCTAAAATTATAATTACTTGGTATAATTCTAAATTGAAAGTACAAAGATGTAGATAAGAAGAGCTAAGAATAAATCTGAGAAGCAAAAAGAAATTTAAAACATTTATTCTGCCATCTTTCTATTTAGGCACCTCTGTACTTTTTAGATTAGTGAATAACTGAAAAGCAAAAGAAATAAAAAATAATTAGGGAAAATAATTTTGCACTGGGAATGGAACAGTATGCGTATGGATCCTATATTGTTATATAATGTTTCCACAGATGCTTAATATGTTGCTTGATGGGTAAGTCTTGACTTTGGAGGAGAAAATAAACAACCTTTTATAAAATATTAGGGTAGAAGACCATTAATATCAAGGATCCTTAAGGATTCCATTGAGGCTGCTAAGAGCCAATGGTACTAATAAGAGGACTAAGACTGCACATCACACTGAGAGTAAAACTTTAAGGATGAAAAAGTAGTTATTCTAGAAGGCACTAACAAAAAGAGAAAATATTTTAATGCCTGAAAATCAAAAAGACCCTAAATATTTTATTTGTACTTTCCCCTCATGTCAGACCTTTCTCTCCCATGGGTTTTCTTGCTTCCTCATAACCCTTCTTCCTGCTTTCCAATCATCTCCAAATATACGCTCTTACATTATATTATTCCATTCTCTTCCTATTGTATTACTCTTTTAAAAAATAAAGTTATGAAATATAGGTAAGATATTTGCTATAATTGCAAATACATGCATATACACTCTGTTTAAAATACAGAACAATAAATAGCTTCTTTATCTCCATAACAAGTATACCAAAATAGCTGTTGTTGTTTACTTTTTGTGCCTCACATTTTCTTTTCCTTTTCTCTTTATTTTAAAATCATGAGGCTTAGTGTTTCTTAATGGAAGAGGAAGTTTATGTCATACATTAATATAAAGAATCTTTTAACTGGAATATGGCTATAGATGTGCTAAACCGAGAACCCTGAACTTGAAGGAGCTAGAAGAGCTCCTGCCTCAATACTGCTTAGTACCAAAGAACCTAATGAAAACCACGAATTTCTCTGATTTTTAGTTTCCTCAAGTGAAATATATAGGAAGTAATTAAGATTAGTGCAGAAATCAAAAATTCTTTATATATATCTTTACATATATTTCTGTATTTTTCTTATCTATGGCTAATGGGATTGTTAATTTTTCCTTCTGAGATCAAAGTTGGCCTCAAAAAGCCTTCTCAACACAGCAGCCATTACCAACCAATCCAAACTGACACATGGGAGCAAAACGATTTGTCAGTCCTTGTCTCCTTGAACTCTAAAATTATGCTCAGTCACAGTTAGTAATAATTTATATTGCCATCTGTTTTTATTTATTGCTGGCTAAATCAACAAATATGGGAAGTCACTGCGAATAAGTTTTGGTTGATAGCCTACGGCAAGGAGAACTGGGTACAGCCTGGCACATTAATGGCTATGGCAGTTATAACCCAGTGTATAAAGTATGCCAGATGGTCTCTTCTTACAGCAACACTGAGCTGAGAAGAGGCCCAGAAAGTGATGGTAGAAAAAAGTGGAAAGTGTAGTCTGTTTGTGATAGAGCCATCAAGGATTTTAATTGCTAAGTTCTGACTAGCTCCAAATATCCTAATTTCCTCTTCCTCTATCATTCATTTACTTATTCACAATTTCTATTTGTACCATTCCTGAAATAATGAATTCTGTGTTAAGTGTGTATCTGCTGTGCTGTATATCACTTATTTATTGTGAATTCACCTTTTTCAAGCCTCTGAAGTACTAATTCATCCATTTAAGACCCTATTTACCATTTTCACACTACAAATGACCCTTGAACAACACGGTTTTGTACTGTGTGGGTCCACTTATGTGCAGATTTTTTCCCTTAAGTATGTATTACAGTAGTACACAATCTGTGGTTGGCTGAATGAAAAGTTATACTGGGATTTTGAACTGTGTGTGGGTCAGCACCCATAACCTCTGCATTGTTCAAGGAAGGGTCAACTGTATTTATAAATTTATAGATTTGAATCAATATTCTCCCTTTAGTATCATCTCTCCAACTGATGAAGTCTAGTGTTTAAAAAGCTTTCCTTATAATTATAAATAAAACATTTAAAAAATGGTGGCTAAATTTTCTTCAGAAAACAATGTGATAGTGGTTTTGAAAATGTCTTTGAATAATAACCATGGTAAAATAATACTTATAGCTTTGGTAACATTATATCCAAAAAGAATCCCTTGCCCCGCCCATAAAAATGTTATTGTCTCCATATTTCAAGGCAACAGAAATTTTAAATATTTTCAAACATACTTTAGCACCTGATAGTACTCAATTAATGTGTATTGAAGTGAAATACAAAACTGATCTACTGACCATTAGAGAGGAAATCAGTGTAATAATCCTATTGCAGAAGGTATTCCAGTACCTTATTACCACAATACTAGAAAACATATTTCCAAGGCCTATAGAATTCATTAACCTAAAGACTTAGTAATTTGCACTTTACTCAAGTAAATGACTTTTGCTTTAACTATTTTGATTTTTGCAATTTTAACAACAATGCTAGTTCTCTCTATATGAAAGCTCTCCCACTCTTCCTATGAAATTTTGTACAGAATTAAACAGGAAACGCTTCCAGGATTTTCCTTTCAGTTTTCTTTTTTTAAATATTTATTTATTTTATTTATTTATTTTCTTTTGGCTACGTTGGGTCTTAGTTAGAGCACGCGGGGTCTTCGTTGAAGCGTGCAAGATCTTTCATTGCAGGTCAGGCTCTTCGTTGTGGTGTGCAGGTTCTTCTCTCTCTAGTTGTGGTGAATGGGCTCCAGAGCGCGTGGCCTCTGCAGTTTGCAGCACATGGGCTCTCTGGTTGAGGCACGCGAGCTCGGTAGTTGTGGTGCTTGGGCTTAGTTGCCCCGAGGCATGTGGGATCTTAGTTCCCCAACCAGGGATCGAACCCGCGTCCCCTGCATTGGAAGGCAGATTCTTTACCACTGGACCACCAGGGAAGTCCCTTCTTTTCAGTTTTACAAGTAAAACAAAATAACTTCTAATAATAATAAAGAAATCACTTTCAAGTAAGATTAGTGTGTGTTCAGACTATAAAAACAGAAGGAAAAAGAAGTACCTAAACAGGATCTAAAACAATGTGAGTGATCAGATGTTAAAGGGGAAAGAAATGAAGTAGGAAATGAGATCAGGCAAATTTTAAAAGTAAAAAAAAAAAAAAAAGCATGGATATGTTGATAAGATAATGGCTCCAAAATCTGAAAGGAATCTAAACCATAAAAAGAAGTATTGCATTTAGATCAGATGCCAAGGAGGAAATGTTTGAGTACTTCAGGTCAAGAAGCAAAATTCTATAGTTCTAGAAAGGTGACGTTAGTCCAATTAATTATAGTTCACTGCTTGTCCTCACTGTTCCACTAAAATTATTTCCTATAACCCAAGCTTCGTTAAAAATTTTAGATAGGGGACGTCCCTGGTGGTGCAGTGGTTAAAAATCCACCTGCCAATTCAGGGGACACGGGTTGGAGCCCTGGTCCGGGAAGATCCCACATGCCGCAGCGCAACTAAGCCCGTGCGCCACAACTACTG